GGTTCGATTCCTGTCGGGGACTCAGAATTTTTCTTTGTCCCACGCTTGTGTCATGTTGATTAATTCACCTTCGAGGTTTAGAGTTGTCTGTATTCTTATCACCAACGAGATGCGTCATCACAGTGGATGGCAGAAATCTGACAATTTCTATTATAAGCTTCGCGTAGACACCGCTTATGCTTCCTTTTCCGATACAGGAGGGAACAAAACATGGATGGAAGTCCGTCTTACTGTGTGTCAGGTATTTCACAGAGAGATAAGCCTCTATTACAGGTCCTAGACCCCTAAAGAAAGCTACTAAAATGCGATTGGCTAAACCTTTAGAGGAGAGCAATTCGAGATTAAGAGCTTAAGGTAATTCCCTAGTAAAAGAACCCGCCATATGCTGTTGTTACAGGACAAGGAGATATTAAAAACGTAGTAAAAAGAGGGGGTCACCGTGCTTGTTTTCACACCAGAATGCTGACAAATACCACTATTTAGGTGACTTTTGGTAATCTCTGTGCGCAACAAATAAGCTTGATTATTTTTCAATGCAGTGTGTTGTATCACCCAGAGTTTGACTTTCTTTGATTGTTTATTCATCTACGTCCCAGAAAAAATGTCTTCAAATACCTTGCATTATTTTTTATCCTTTAAAGGAAACATAATTTGGACATGCACTGTTGGGCCTGTTATGTCTCCCTCTGTAGTATTTATTTCATTTGCCGGAAAAGTAGCCATAGAATTCTACTATTTTTTATCTCAGTTATTGAGGATATTGTTCTCATTGAAATTATGAAATAAAAAGTGAGACCAAGGTTTAGTAGTATATTTATTTTTCTAATCAACAGTCAGGTGAAAGTTACCGTATGATCATAGGCACGCTTCAACAAGAGAAGGTAATGCTTCTGCCACGTGGGTAATCAATTACAAAAAGTTCAAATTGAATACCTGTAATTGGACACCCACGTGATCGCGCACAGATTAAATGACAAATAGGCATGTGGAGAGCCAATCATGATCCAGGATTTTGTCATGGATACAATTATATTGAAAAAAAAAAAAAACTATTATTTTCATTCATAATATATTATTCTCATTCATAATATATTATTCTCACTTATCGTTAACACCAGAGTTTTGATGTCTGTTCTTCTCCTCACACTTGACATGCCATTTGTGTGACCTGGACCTTAAATGTTTTTTCCAGTTTTCTTCACCAAGAATAATGCGGTTGCCACAGATCTCACACACATGCCTTGCATGCCGATCATCTTGGATGATCACCCTGGGGAGAGGGTTGATAAGTGGATTTTCCCCTTTTATCAATTTATCTAAAATATCTAATGCAGTTTTAAGAACATTGCCCTCCCATTTCTCAAGATCAGTTGCATCTAGTCCATAAACATCAGGTGCAGAGATACTTGGTCTTGCCAAGAAGCGGTTTCTCACCCATGTCATTTGCTTTTTTGCATACCTACGTGTGACTGTCCTCATGTTTTCGACACCTGTTGTCAAAAGTTCTTTGTCCTCTTTGGATGCATTGCTTTTATCAAACTTTTTTCCTTCCTGTTTGACAAGAAACTCATGAAATTCTTTGAAACCAATGGACTGAAATATACCTTCTGTGTATTTTGTGTCGACATCCTTTCTCTCCAACACGTGGTTGTATTCACGATGAAAGTCCAAGAGTTCTTCAATTAAGCCTCTATCCAACATTTCATTGACTCTACTATCAAGCCTCTCATTAAGGATCTCTCTCTGACACTGTAGCCAAAATACACACATGTGTTTATATCTCTGGGGTCCACCATAAACACTTCCCCCTAGTCTCTGTTGCTGTTCTTGCAGAATCTTACTGTGAGGCCTGCCGAGTTGTTCATATACCTGAAGACTTCGTGCAATTTTCCGGGAATCACTTGGATGTAGACGATCTGCCATGGCTGGATCAACCTCCCTGAGCCTTTCATAGAGGCTTGTCTTTGAGCTTGACTCCTTATTCCGTTCTAAATGTCCTGGCATTTCTTCAGATTGGCTAGTTCCTTTAGCTGTCTCTCCACACGCCACTACCGTCTCACCAAGTGCATCATTAGAGTTTTCAACTTCTTTACTTTGGATCTCTTTTCGTTGCTTGATACCTTTTGTGCGTTTTTCTGATTCATCTCCGCTACTAGACGAACTAGTGCTTCTATCTTCGTCAATCAAGATATCCCATAAGACAGATTCGATGTAATAGTTTGTGCCGCCAACGATTATCGGAATTTTTCCTCTCGTTTTGATGTCTTCGATCAAAGGTAAGGCCATATTTCGGAATTCCACGACAGAGAATTCTTTCAGCGGCGAAACAAAATCGATCAAGTGGTGAGGGCATTGTGAGAGTTCCTCAGCAGTCACCTTGTTCGTTATAATGTCCAAGCCTTTGTAAACTTGCATAGAGTCAGCGCTGAGGATTTCTCCACCTATTCTTTTACCTATTTCGATGGCTAGCTTGGATTTTCCAGTACCAGTGGAGCCTAGAATTACCACAAGAGGCAAACGAATGTTTCCCATGGCGGCCGCCATTTTGGCTTAGACCGAGAAGAGTCTGGAAGTGAGATTAAAAATATTCAGCCTCGTTCCCAGTATCTCTATTCCTGGGAACGAGGTGCAAAGAAACAATTATTATTGACATGATGTAGCTATTACTTGGTGTCTGTAAAAGTCAAATATTCCAGAGTATATCTAGTCTACAGAATTTCACTGTAAGTGCGCGTTCAACCTCAGACAAACTGGGCAGCTATATGGGGAGGTTTTAAAGTATTTGCACAATTAGCCAATTAGATTACCGCAGAGCCCATGACCCTAATTCCAAAACATTTTTATCGAAAAAGCCTAAAAACCAGCCGTAAAACTTCGATAATGAGCCCTCGAGTGAAATTAAACAAGCAGGGCTCGAGGTTAATGCTTTAACAACAGTACTTGTCTCTTGGCTAATGGCATATCAGATTGTCTTAACCAAAACAATTGCCAACTCGCGAGATTGTCTATTGCTCAGATGCATGCTAGTAAAGTTTGTTTCAGTGCCTTAAGAGCTCACAGGTTCTGGAACTGACACTGCATAAGACTGTTGGTAATGGAGCCAGTTCAAAACTAAAAAGTGAGGTCTAGCTTTTGTCATTCTTACTGTGTTCAGCTTGTACATTTGTAGTCACAAATTACAACTTTGCCAAGTCTGATTTTCATCAGATACTAGCCAGAGCCTAGAAGAAATACAAAATAAATTACAGGCCAAATGTGGAGTTTTACTAGTCTGTGGCTAGTTGGCTCCTGCAAGTTAGTCTCGAGCTCTGACGAGGCTTTCTTATTGGACTTATTTTTGCCGAGTTTACTTTCGGAGACTGGAGGCACGTTATCGGAAGGAGTGTTGCGCTTTATAAATATCGGCGGGCTCTAATTAGCTGGAAGGAACTAAAAGTCTGAAAACTCAGGTACGCATAACAATATGACCTAAGGGTTCTGCAATCACAAGTTGAGAAACAAGTTTCAAATATTTAGATGAGCGGGAAGTACAAAGTCAAGAGCCCCCAACAGCGGGGTAAGAGGCTTCATAATCCGGAGGAATTTACAGTTCTTTCGTAGACAAATCTGCAAACTCGATACAAGCATAGGCGGGCGTATTGTTGGAGAAGTGTGCAAGATTTGGGGGTTTTGGGGTTGGGGGTGGTTACTGTTGTCGGGGGAAGGGAAGAAAATTGCAGTCAAACCTGCGCTATATCACCGGACAGCTCTGTGGGTTCCACACAGGGCACATGAAAGACGTATAAGTGATTTAAAGAGTGCACATCATTTCTTGTAAAAACTTTTAATTCTAAATTCTCTCATGATAAAACAGATAAAAGAGACGCCTTAACAGTTTTAAAAAATTCCGCTTTTCGTTAATTACACTCTTAGAATGAACTGAATGCATCTGTACTAACAATAGTGGTGAACGCTGACACGATTTTCAGTCTGCAAGAAAAGTATGAAACTACAGACCTCTTATTGATATTGGTGAAAAAATGTCACAAACGACAGGGTATCTTTCTAAAAAGTTATCAATAAGATATATTACACGGGCGTCTAAATTTATAAGCACTCGTATATACATTACTTGGCCAGTTGGGCTAAAAAACTACAACACTGTAGCGTCGATGGATTGCGTACACCAGAATCTATTCCAACTTTCTTGCAGATTAACTGAAGTTAACTCATAGTTACTTGAGTAAGAAAAATAGTAAAAGGAAAAGGAATTCTGGTCACCCAAATTGTAAACTTAATATCGCAATCAAGAGAACGCGTGCTGTTGTAAGTATTCTCTCGTTAAACTCAAAGAGTTTCTGAGAGAAGTTAGGCAAAACATTGTCGTTTTCAATAAACAATTGCTGAAAACCCGAGTACAAGACGCCTGTTATCCATTCGCTTGATGCCAGACAGTAGCCTCATTCTTCAAGACTAGGTTTACGAAAATGTAAAATGTACGCGTCCCCCGGGGCGTTCCCTTGGCTGGCAAGATTTCTCAACATGTTGTCTGACAACATCACTGAACAATAAATTCTATTTGCGGGTTCATTCGAGTCACCCTGAATTAAGAATTCATCCCAATTTTACCCGTTCCCTCGATTGCAGGAATAAATAGCCAAAGCATTATCTCATCGAACAGTACAAACCAGCAATCTAACTACAGTTGAGCACATAAGAAACGGGAAGACATCTGGGCAGAGTCTCATCCTCACATTCTCTTGCAGAGGGACCACTATTGGGGACAACATGGCTTCTCATCTATTGTCCCCAGTAAAGGCTGCACAAACGATTGCGAGATGAAACTCGCTACAGATTTCTTCTCGTTTCTAAAGAGGCGAATTCCTTCTTCTGTAAAGTATGTACAGTCATTAATAACGTGACAGTTATTGCCTCTTATTTATTTTGCTTAAACACGCGCTCTTTTATCGAGTCCCGTAATATCATCTCCTTTTCTTTTTCTCGACTGACAAAGACCCGGTCTGTCCGGTTCAGCCCGCGTGACCAGTTCAGCAAGTAAGTATTTTTGTGGGGGAGGTGGTGGGTCTTGCATAAGGTACTCGGCGATGTAGTCTGGCTTTAAACACCAAACATTATTCATCTGTAGCGAATCCAGGTCAGACGCTTCCACTTTCGTTTTGGATAAATCTGAAAAGAAAATTAGAATTAATCACTAAACCACTGCAAACAGTTTTCAGAATGGTTATGTCACGGTGTGCTGAGTATTTTTTTTGTGTGTGTGTGCGTGTGATGTAATAGTGTAATAGCGTAAAATTTTTCAAGATGCGCCACAGTGTAACATTTTAACTTCTCATTTAATTTCTTCATATCATGTCAATATAAAGGTACGTCGCAGGTGTAGAGTTACCAAGAAAGAAGACCTTTTCTTTTACCACAGGGCTAGAATCCGTACCTAGAAATGCGTGAGAAAAGTCTTGAGTGTTCTTGAAAGGCGGTCTGAATCCTGACACTTTAGCTCCCCCAGATTCTAGCAGACGTTTAAATCCTGGTTGCCTTGATTTGTCAACGCACAGAAGAACCACCCAGCCACTGAACGCACCACAGCAATACCCACTTGGACCGGTTTCTGAAGCAGCCTGAAAGTTGCAGTAACGTTTCCAAGTTAGCGAGAAACTCCACTTGCACTAAACAAAAGGAGGGAGTGCTCGTAGTCTATCACTGGGGAAGAAGACTTTACTAATCCCTGGGGCCCTTTACAGGGATGTACCCCAGGGGAGTTTCCTCATTTGACTTACCGCTCTTTCTTGACGAAGTTTGAGCCGCCATCTCCGAGCTGCAGCTGCGAGTTTATTGTGGGGTTCCCCGGGATTTTCTTGTCCCCACTCATGGGGCGTCTCATCCACAAAGAAACCTGCCTCACGACTGGCTTCCAGGAACGACTTGTGAAGCACCCACTTACCAGCAGCCACTGCAGCCAGATACTTCTCATTCCTAGTTGATCAAAGGAGAAAATGATTATCTACCAACGTAAAGCGACAAGGCAGCACAGCGAGTTCGTTTCCACAGACGTTTTAACGCTCTCCCTTAGCGTAACCAAAGACGTGCACTTTCCTTACAGGGTGCGACACAAAAGGGGGTCCACTTGCCCCAGACATGTGTTTTGGCCAATGGCCAAGTGGGTTAGCAAACTTACTTGTCCTTTGGAAAAGTAAATTTTCAGAAAATAACTTTAAATAGCAAGGTGTTCTTAATATGCTTTAGCAGAAAATAAACATAAAGTATACAGTCGGGTTTTTGCAAGTGTAAAACAGATCGCCTTTCATAACAGCTACTTTGGGAACCTGAGGTTGGGAGTCAGAGTCAGATCTAGCCTTTTTCCTCGCCTTTTGTTCTTAGGCAAGATATGTTACTCTCACAGTGCTTCTTCCCACCATAGAGGCATGCTCAGAAAGAAGTGTGGCTGGAGCGGAAGGAATGTAACAAGAAACTATCCGATTTGCAACTCTTACCCGTATTTTTACTCAGACAACTTAATCCACCTAAGCTGTGACATTAATTCTAGCTGCTTCGACCGACGAAAGTATTTAATGACACATCCTTTAAACGCAAACCGTGTAATAATTAGGTCGAACTCACCTGTTTGGTTTACCAACCACCACGTGCGTGCACTCGGGATTAAAGTAAACAGTGTCGAACACTTGGCCCCCAAGCTGCTCAATCAACGCCGAGTAATCAATCTTCTCTTGAGGCGTCATGACAGAGAGCTGAAACTTGGGCGTGATCCAAGCACGTGTTTGAGTTTGATCAAGTTCCGTGCCTTCAAGAAGGTTCACTGGTGGTGGTTTTAGAGTGTCTTTGATTTGAAGGCCAAGCTTTGGGGCTGCGGGGGTAGAGCTGGAAACAGGCGAGGGAGGGTCGGATTTCATTGTCACGTTTAGCTCTCTTACGTGACGTTCAACAGTGTTGTTGTTGTCAGCAACCGCGACTCCAGTGATTGTAGAATCTTTCGAGACTGTTGTCTGCATGTTCTACGAGGAACATGTCCAAAGAACGCATATAGTTAGCTCGCATAAAACAAGAATTGAACCTAGATTCAAGTGCTCATAGATGTGAGAAACCAGTTAAAATTCATTGTACAGTTGATCCCCGCTATGTCGGACTCTCAGGGGAAACGAGTTCGAAATACGAGATAGTAAATGACTGAAGGGCAAATCTAAGGAAAATGGTTTAAGTTCGAAATAACGGGGAATTCAAAATAACCGAGCTCGAATTAGCCAGGTCCAACTATACTTATTAATATGAACAAAATAATTTAAGAACGTGCCTTTAGCTTGATGAACAATCTCCAATTAACTCCGATCATGTTAAAATGCAATTTAAATTGTCACCAAATTTTGTCTCTGGAAAATACGCTTTGGTCGTTTCAGTGGAACTTCAACTAATCAAAGTCTAAAACAGCTCCCTGTTGATTTAATCTTTCGTAGTTGTCTCAAGTCTAGCATGTTTGACGCATATCACACCCACCGTGTGTGTTTTGTTGTCCCGTCTGTCCTCCTCCTCGTCTTCTGTATGGAAGTCTGGACTGGGACTGTTGCCTCTTTTGAGTTGTGCCATGATCTTCTCACGCTCCATCCGTCCCGCGGGATCGTCGTAAGTGATAGTATCACTTTGTGAGTGTTCACTGTCATCATTCATTGGCATTCGGGATTTGACCCGTGAGGAAGAGTTACTGTCGACACCTTCAACAGCCTTCAATAGAAGCAAACGAACACATTTTTTTTAAGCTTATTGGCTTGGATTTTACCGTTTGTATTCAACTTTAATGTCCGAAATTCAAAACGTATTACAAGCTGTTAGAAGAATTAGCTGTAAGACCACCTGACAGTCAATGATAAATGTTGAAGATAACAGATTGTGTTCGGTTTTTGTCTCCTCCGTTCGAAATCAAGCTCCCATTTTTTAGTTACTTTATTGCCGTTCGAGCTCTATTCTGTGTGCTTCTCGAACATTTCAGACGTCACGAGCGATCGCTATTTTCTCTCCTTTGTTTAACAGAAAGAAGAGTTTCCTCGTAGATAAACGAGGAGAATTGAGCCGAGACAAAAGTAGGCACCGAAAGTGGGAGGGAGACTTGTACCTACCTTAGAACTGACACGTGATCGCAACCTTGATGAGGTCCGTCTCGTGGCCAATGACATCTCAGCATTTGCATTCGCTGGTGAATTGTGGGAAATGCTGCTTGAGTTTGTAGATGACGTATGTCGTCTGCTTCTTCGCCTTCCTTTCGCCTGTCCAAAGGCACATAATTTTTTAGTTACCGTTTGTAAATTCCAGACGAATTTTGAGCTCTGCAAACAGACAGCAGCAGAGTGCGAAAAAAGAAATGCTGTCTACTAGGTGTTGATTAAAATCAAAGGGTTAACTTTAATATAGCTCTCGTGGTAGCGGAGTTCGCTTGTTCCAAGGGCTCGGACTGCGCTCATTTTTTCATTCGTCCGCCCACGTATTTACCTCGGCCCTCCCTAGCGACTGAAAACATGGACCAAGCTATAGCGGACTGAATTTGAGCCTGCTTAGTCAAACCACAATGTTAACGCCATTCAGTACGCGAAATTTTAAAATGGATTTAACAGCTTATTTTCTCCTTACACAAAGGTGATGTTTCTTAACTTTATCACAAAACCATATAAAACAAACTTCTAACGCACTTTGTTTCGTGATAAATAATTTGTAAGCCGTCGTACATTGCGTCGGGAAAAGAGGAAACGGAGCGAAATGTCAGCGAGCCTCAAGAGAGTTCAGAAAACGGTCTGCAGATGGCGCGCGCTTTGACTGGTTGAAAGTAAAACCGTACGCGTTTCTGTCTAATTAGACTACAAACCCGAGCTTACTAAAATCGATAGAAACCAGGAACAAATAGTGAAATAGTTTGGACATAACCAAGAAGCAAACAGAACATCCATAAATGAATCTATTGAAGGTATGTGATTTACGTTTTCAACAATGATAAACGAAAAAACTGTGCGCGCGCTCACGTGATTGACTTTCGATCGATAGATTGGGGCTGCAACTGCGCAGCCAATCAAATTTTCAGTTTTCTCCACAATCGGCCAATAGCCTGTCAAAACACAGAAATCAAAAACAAAAAAATATCAGTTTTTTAGCGATATAAAACCTTGTAAAACTGAAGTTTAGATAACGCGCTTCATTGCTTACGTTTGTTTCGGATTTACTTTGACAATTTATATCAAACGGAGCATATTAAACGGAGTTCGGCGAATCGTTTGACAATTAGTAATAAACTAAAACACATTTTTACGGCTGTTGGGTGAAGTTCCATTTTAATTATTTGGTTCGAATGTTCTTAAACGTTGCGCGTGCTTTTCGTCATAAAAAGGAGTTTAATAACGTCATGAACGTAACCAAGACAACTGAAACAGTTCGCTTTTCTCAAGAGACTTTGATAAGAGCTTAGTGCTTCGGACGTACAGGAGAAAGACAAAGAATTTTCAGTTTTACAACATGTGTGGGTCTTTGCTATCAAAATTCGCTGGACGCGGGAATCAAGTCGCGCCAGCGGATGAGTCAGCTTTCAGAAAACCCAAACGAGTTCAGGGAAAAACAAAACTTGCGGAGGAGACAACATCAATCCGCGAGTCCAGTCCGGTGGATAAATTATCAATCTGCGAGTCCAGTCCTGTGGATAAATTATCACGCAGCGACTTGGGAGTTAAGGAAAAACCAAATGCGGCATCGGTAAGAAACTCAAAAGAAGCATTTGAGGCGGAAAGCTCCGCAAACAGTGAAGCGAAGGGAATTCAAGAATCGTCACCCGGTAATGAAAAAGATGCCGAGGCAAGAGCCATGGACAGTGCGGCAGCCATTCTGTCAGCACAGAGAGCCATAGGTTCAAGTGACAAGAAGATACGCGCAATGCAGAGCGCTAAAGAAATTTTGGAAGCTCAGATTGACAGCGGGCCTTCAAGTTCCACCACCATCGCTTCCCAGCCTGTGAGTTCCACGCGATCAGTACTCATGGGTGCAACCTCAAACGCCATTGCTTTTGAAGTCCTTGTTGGGCAGAGGCCAACAGCCCGCCCTTTAAGCAGGGTTCCACGGCGCCTAAGCAAGTTGGAGAGCCAGCCAAGAGCGTCAACAAAACAAGTGAATGCTAAACTTCTGGCTGCAGAAGAACGCAAACTCAGAGAGCTGGAAAACATCCGAGCCCGCGCATCCAGCAGGGCAGGAGGTAACAGACCACACCCAGCAGAGGCTGCTTCCAAAGCTACTGCCCAGAAAATTGCTTCCAAGCAAGCTGTCGCCGAGAGAAACAGGAATGACATGATCGCTTCAAAGAAGCAATCCGGAAATAAATCTTCAAGAAAACGGAACAAGATTGCTGCTTCCCAGGCTTCCGCCAAGGAAGAGCTGCAGTCCGCCATTGAACAGAAAATGGAGAAGGCTGCGCAAAGGAAGGCGGCGAAAAAACAACAACGACAAAATCAGAAAAACCTGAGAGCAGAGCGCACGAGGAGAGTCAGAGAAAACGTAAGTCGCTATTTTCTAGACGTTTGACAAGCCATTCTTTAAGCTAACTTTCGCGCCTTTTCTTGAATTTGCCAGATTGAACGCATGTTAAGAGAGGAGGAGAAGGAAGTACTTGAAGATCTTCGGGAACTGGAAGCAGATCAAGCTTACTGTGCCTCTGACAGCGACGAGTCGTGGGGAGATAAAGATGACACCGTCGTCTACGAGTGGGAGGACTTCTTCCAAGACTAATTAGTCCATTAGGACTAATGCCCTGTCAATAACTGACAGTGGCTCTGAACGTGAAAGCGAGCATAACGTCACGGAGAATTTACGATACAAAAACTGAAAAAAGAGGATTCCAAATCACGTACTTGTCTCAAAATTCTAAATGCTAATTCTGAACTTGGTAATTCATCAACTGTGAACTGATTAACAGAGAGAAAACACGACGAGGAGTCGTGATTCCAGAGAACGGATGTTACCACCTTCCAGTCCAGCTGTCTCTCATCAATGCTTAAATCACTTTACACTGAAGTTAATCTGTACTCTTTAATAACACTTGATTGAACTACTGTAGCAACATTTTCATCCCCCCTCCCCCTCTCTGTAATGCGTCCCCTCCCTTTCCCCTCCACGTACATTTGTGACGTGTGTTAGTGTTACAGTAGTACAATTAGTTTCCTCTCGCTATCCTGGCCTAATAATGTTTGCTTGTTGAGACATAACGTGAAGCGTTGTTAAATAAACAAACAATGTGTGAGCCTCAATTTGTGTGGTTTTATTGTGCTTAACCAATCGTGCGGTTTCTTTGTCTGTGATTTTCAAATTGACCATTTCCCAACTTGAATTATAATGTAAGGAATGACTCTTATTTTAGGGGAAAATGGAAATGATTTTCGGGCTAGTAAATCCTAGGTAGAGCTTACTCAAAGGGCAATGTCGAAAATTTGTTTTCTTTGCACCCTGTGAACTATTTTTGTTGTTGGATATCCATTACCACTAAGACCCTTGTCATTTCACCAAGATGAGTTTTCCTCCTCTTTCACACACTTTTTCTTCAATCTCTGACGACAGGTAGTTAATTATGACGCTGTTTAAATTAAGATCTCTATTCAGCAGAAAGAAATCGTGTTTACAAAAGTAATTAAAGCTCACTCACAAGAAAAACAATTGATACAAGCTCTTGGAATAGCACTTAGAAAGAAAAAGAAAAAAATCTGCGTTCACAGCTGTAGGTACCTTGGTAGCATCCATGATTGCCTCCAGCTGTCGTTTGAAATCCTCCCGTGCTTCTAAAGACTCTAATGTTGCTGGTCCCATTTGGGGATCCTGCTGTACTTGCTCCTCTTCAGTGATCCCCTCTGCTACACCCTGTTCAACGCTAGGTAACTCACTTGATCCATTGTTTGTCCTACTTGGCTTTTCGGAGCCATTTTCTTCACTCACACCACTTGCCTTTGCTGTAGGCGACTTTCCTTTCTTTTGTGGTGACATATCTTGTTCAAGTGTTGACTGAAGATTTTTACAATGAAATGAGGTCATTAATAGTCCACTGCACATTGTTGTAGTTACTTTTAAGAACAGAATAATAGACACATAGAAGATCTGTACAGAACACACACAAATAACATGATGATGTATGGGTATGCAGGCTAGAGTCCCACAAAGCCTGTCATACATGCAGCTTCAGTAGTATAAGACAACTACACGTATGGCTTTTGCTACACCCTCTGGAAGGAATGCTAGTCCATCATAGGTCCATTCTCGCCCTCAAAAAAATTGTTACACGCAGACTGCCCTAACTATTCTCCTAACTAGACTCCTGGATGGAGAGACACAGAGTGAAGTATGGTGTCTTAGCAAAGAACACAACAACACTGAGTTCACTCTAGATCATTGTACCTCATTGTACCTTGAGTGGATGTATAAACAGGCAAATACAGTAAACTGCACAATTTAAATCACAATACTCACTGCTTTGGATGATCTTGTCACTCTTCTACCTGTCGTTACCACAGGGAGATTTAATTTGGGATTGAATGTGTGCGGATACATGGCCTCATCAACTCTTTCATTTTTCTCCTGGCAGACGTACAGCCAATGAGGAGACACAATGTGAATGCCGCGATCTTTTGCTAGGGTGTATTCCTTTGTTTTGTCATTGGCTGAGCCCTGATAAGGATCACAATAATCATATTTATAAGTGCCTCAGCAGTGCAAATAGAAAATAGAAACATTGAAAAAGAAGTACATGTATATACCAAAGACGTATTACTACTATCAAGTACACTTTTTTCTAGACTACCAAAGAGTGAAAGTGTAAGCACGACAAATACAAATAACCAAATGAGTTAATGAGGACTCTACTTCAAAACATGCAAACCACATGTACAAGTACATGCACTGTCAAATACAGGATAAGTGTGCTTAAACTGAGGTATGAGTGACTTGAACCAAGTTATCTGATAGATAACCTTTGAGGATTGTACAGTAAACTGTATTTCTTGAACAAATAGTATTCCATATAATTATGTGTTATTTCTAAGCAGATGGTGCAATATCACGGTTACTAATGAGTCGTGATCTCCACCTGGCAGGTGCACCCATGTGAATAGCAAATGAGATGAGTCTGGGCAAGCAATTTAAACTGGATAAATTGGATTAATTCTAAATACATGAATCGTCAACCATTATTGCAATTAGTATTTTTAGTGTTTGTAAGTTTGCAAAATATAAACAGAAGGTACTAGAAGAAACAGCCAAATTAATCATTGTTTCTCCGCAAAACTATCTTGGAACAGAAAAGAAACAGAAAAACATTACTATTCTCTCACTTGGTGAATGAGATGAGTGCAGGATTCATCATAAAGCCAGCGATAATCAGCACCAAGAGATGAAGCCAAGGTGAACAGCTCTGTCTGTTGCTGAGTCAACTTTTTACTGATGGATAAAATAATTCCAGCAAGAATTCCTTTCTGAGGAGATTCTCTCTGTTCCTATAAAATAACAGCTTGTTAACATGTGAAGCTTCTGTCGCCTGTTAAAGCAACATTTCTTACCTGTTCACAAAGACTACATAATGGGTTACAGTCAAACCTGTATACAATGGTCACCCTTGCGAAATAGCCAGGTGATCGTTATATACAGGGTGACCGCTGTACACAGATTTCCTTTAAACTCCCCTGGAAGTCAATAAATAGCATTTTTATGTGCAAATGATCATTCAATTTACGTTTTAACGACAATAATGAGTAACAGTAACGCAATAAACACGACAAAAAAGGCACATAAAATGTCCGTGGTGTACTTTAAGGGAGGGGCAGTATACTTTGATTTAAGTCTCCTGTGAGTGGCTGCATCGGACTGAAGCTGATAGAAGAGAAATTTGATGCCGAGCGCTGTCTTGGTTTATAAAACAGTAGCCTAATACAGTGTAAAGCCGCCGCTGTCAACTTGATAAGTACCGCAGTACAGTTTTATAATCTGGGAACTATGACGAAAGTGAAAACAGTGTGGTACGGTTGTGTTGTTACAGTTACACTAGCTAACTATTGTTTGAAAGCGACGATACTTTAAAGTTATCTGCCGCAAGCATGTGTTGGACATAGGTGATGACATGTATTAGTAGTTGTGTTTAGTACTAATATTTGTATTTTTGTGAGAGCCCTTGGTGGCTACTATTTAACGAGCGAATGAATAAAGCTTGTCATTATTCATTAATTGTACCCAATTTCGTGACCGTTATATACAGGTAAAAGATAANAAAAATGGCCTGTAATTGGCTAATGATGAGATCATCCCACTGTCCAAATTTGGTGAGAATCGAAAGTAATACCAATTTTCTGTCACGTTTTCAATCTGTGGCCACTGGAGTGACCAAAATTGATACATCAGTTGGGATAGAGTTTAATTAAGGCATTTTTTTTTTTTTTTTTTTTGCTGTCTGGATGGCACTCTAGATGTGAATGAGGGCCAGTAACCAGCCAAGGTTTTGGCTTTCCAGTTTAAGGCTGTCCTTGTTTCACATTGCAGATCATCACAGGGATTACATGTAGCATGTTTCTTTTGGTTAACAATCAACAGTGAAAACTCTATATCATACATTCATTGACAACCTACCCATATATGACTCACAATGCACTATAGTAATTAATAACAACTGCACCTCTCCTCCTTGGCAAACTTCATCAATAGTTTCATCATTGTTATCTTCACCTAGGTCATCATCCCTTGTGGGTGGGGCAACAGTTCCCAGTTTCTGAAGCGTCTGCTTGATGTTCTCTGCAAAAAAGTCATCCAGAGGAAAGCTGTTTCTACTGCCACGACTCTTTCTGCTCTTAAGACTGTGACTGCGACAGGCAGGAGAGGCTAACTCCTCCATCACATCAGTCAAGTCAAATGACGGTCTGAAAGGACGATTGTAAATTGATGGCCTCTTCGCTGGTTGCTTATATGTACTGCCATTATTGCAAGCCACCTTGTTTAAATTTGCGACTTGCATAGCAGCTGCTGGATCATTTGTTTCCATGGCGATTTCTTCTCGTGCAGTTTTCACATTCACTTCCTCACCACTGTCTTTGGTAAGGAGCTCATCACGTCTTAGATTCTCCAATGGATCAATATCAATGTTATCTGTTTCTATCATTTTGTCTTTGTCAACTGGATACTTGCTGATGGGAACCAAGGTGCCACTTGCTGCACATGCAAACAGCCATTCTCTAGTCACAACTGGAATATGCCACTTCACAGCTGCTTTGTATTTGTCCCCATCTGGATCTCGACACAGAAGATGTGTGCTTGCATGATAGTTACTGCTTGCCTTGCGAACAAAGTACTCCTGACAGTGGGCACCTGGAAACACAACAACACAGTACTGACTCAGTCAAATCAGATATTCCCAATATTTACTAGCAACTATAAAATAATGCAATTCGCAATAACAACATTCCAAACCTAGTGAATCAATCCTAACCACTGACCTGACTCATTTTATGGCTACAGTCACTGCACATGATGATAAACTGGGAATTACCATACCAAAAAAGTCAATTTTGCAGACTACATGTACATATACATGTATTTCCTTTGATTCTACAAACACCTTCAAAACAGCTGTCTTTACAAATTAAACAAAATTTTCTAATCATATCAATTCACACATACTGCTATCGATAACACTGTTCTTGCTGAGTGACAGACATTGCTGAGTGATGCCATTTTCATTTGCAACAACAAAAAAGCACAACAAAACAAAGACCATAAGCCAGGTTTCCTTTTCTTTCTTTTGTATTGATTCCTGTTGCCCTTTGTGGAAAGGGGTGGTTTTTCAATAGGCCACAAGTTTTTGCATTTCTGAGTTCCCATTATTATGCCTCAGTCTCCATATGAGTCCTTGCGTGAAACCATCAAAGAAAATGAGTTTGACTTGCATGAAAAAGAATCTCTAGGGGGAGAAAATGTTCACAAGAATGGTTTCACACAGACTCTTTTTGACACAGAGGTAGAAGACAACTTGGAAATGACCTGTTTTACAAGTAGGTACTAATATAATAACTACATTAATTTTGTTAATAATAATTACATGATTATTAACGAACGCAGATATATCAAACTAAAACATCATATTAAAAATTGGCTTGACCAACCCAAAAGTTCAGCCACTTGATACATGTGATCTCTCTCTACCCCGGTAAACTGGCTGATTGACAATACACATCCCTTGAGTGGTTGGCTTGCTGCTGGGATAGTGAAGGGCTTAAAGAGAAAGCTATCATCCAGTGCCAATAGATGGCCACATTCCAAACTCTGTTCCAACCAGCAAAACGTCACCTACAACCACACAAAAATCATAAAACACAACATATTAAACTATCTACATTGTACTCATATTTAGTGGCCCATACAGCTGGAGCTTATCCTGGCCTCTATAGCATTAAGCGACTGGAATGGGATGCTAGTCCATCACAAGGTTACCCTCAGCATTTGCTGGTACCCATTTATTCACCTGGGTGAAGAAAGGCAATGTGAGAGTAAAGTGTCTTCCCCAAGAACATAACACAATGTCCCTGGCCAGGACGGTGGTTTGATCCAGAGTCAAGTATACCAACCATTAGACCACTGCACTGCCAACTCCTGTACAGTACAGTTTTGTTGACGCAGAAAAAGGAAAAATATTACATGTACATCTTAACTTAGTTGTCTAGAATTACAGATAAATTGTTTTTTAAAAAAAAAATAGTAAAGTTACTTACTAACTGCTTTGCTTGCAACTTCTCATCAGGAACCATATTCATTGGCAAAATTGCATAGTCAGCAGTTTGTCCCCTGGCCACGTGCTTTCCTCCATTACTTTCTATGAGTTGCCAAAGGTGTGCCACATGCTCATTAGCAAAGCCAGCAACTGTTAAACACTTCTCAGAAAGTAAGCCATCTTGTTCAGGTTCACCTTCCTCATCAAGTGTTGCATCAGGGTCTGCATTGGTGCTAGGTTTATCTAATTAATCAAGAACTTACTAATTTCATCCCAGTATCATTTATATATAATTTATACAGCTCACAAAATTAATGTTATTTACCAAGCACAAGGGCTTTCATATAATGAGACAATATCACCCCTGTAGACACTGTATATCAGTACATGGAAATCTTGACAGTTGAAATGTTTTCATGGATTACAGGGGAAAAAAAGCAGCTGCCTATGGTGACAAGTCAGAGGATGACATTGCCTGCCTGGTTTGACCATCTTAGAGGAAAGGGTTTTTATAACAAAGTTCAGTTCAAAATGTTTTGTCAGCCTGTGAAAACTAGTTGCTCTAATGCTGAAAACATTGATAAAACCCCTGGTGTTTGGCTTTTGATGAAACCTCCATCTTCCATACTTCCTTACCAAGGATGGCAGAAAACTACTGTAGTTGAAAGACTTTACTTTGTTATACTGTACCTATTAGCTGCTCACTGGGATTTGTTCGTGGAGGGTTTTGTGCAGATGTACTGGCATTGTCCATATTCTCAGTCAAGTACTGCTGGAAAACGTCATCGTCATCTTCAAAGGCATCATCTTGAAGTTTAGCGATTTTTACATTTTTATAATTAGCTGACACTTTTGGTTGAGGTGCAGGATTGTTTTCTGGTGCTGTCACAAGATTTCCTTCAGGATTTTCATTTTCCTTGCATGAAGTGGAAAGTTCTTCTTTGTCTATCAGATAATCTGCGAAAGGGAACAACAGTGTGCAGTCCAATAAAATATACAAGTGATGTACTGTAGAACTTCACTTGATTCTCAAGAGTTTATTACGTTTGTGTGAAGAAGTCAGGTTATTGTCTGGCTTATATTAGAGACTACAAGTGTGTGTGTTTACAGCATGAACATCTCAATAATCAAGCATAAATACTTTACTGCCAAAATATCATTCCAACAGGTAGTTTTTTTTTTTTTTTTTTTTTTTTACATTACAGCTGTATGTATTAAACATATCCAGATTTGCACAGTAAAGACCAAGGCCAACACGTGTATTAAGCTTGGCTAACAGATATGTATAATAGGAAAAGAGCTGTAGAAACTTTATCTGGTCTAAGCACACCTTCTGACAGGGTGCGGGGTGCAGGAACTGCACAATTCCGCCAAAACCGCACAATTCCCTCATCAAATCCTGCACAACACTTAAAGATTTGCTTAAATATTGAAGTAAAACAACCTCTTATTGGTCGCAGAGATTATTTTCTTTTCAAAACAAACGAGCAATCTTCCACTTTCCTCAAATGAAGTGCATGGGCAAATACAACAATGGCAAGGCATCAACTTACATTAATTTTGCAGATGAATTTACATAAACATTAGGGGATAACTTTGGAGAATTTGTAAACCTTAACGCACTAAATGATGAAACGTTCAAGCTACACATTTTCACTGAATTAAACAAAAAAGGTAAAGGAACTCAATTATACTGGAATATATTTTACTTTACTATGGTATTCTATAGATTTTGGTTTCATAAACATCGAGTTTAGTCATGTCACAACATGACTTTGTTCAGACAGAGTCAGTCAGAGACAGTTTGTTCAAACAAGTGGCAATTGCTACGTGGTATTTGAACTAGTGAAATAAATCTGGCTAAATATTCATCAATACAGTATTTCCTTGCTGTAGGAATTAGCAAGAACACTAGAAATTGAGATTTGGTTCATCAAAAGATTGCACAATCCCACACAATTCCCCGCACAATTGAAGTCTTTTTTTTTCCAGAACCCTGTCAGAAGGTCAGTCTAATACTGTTTGTTTGATTTCAATCATTTGGTCTTCTCAGTAATGTTAACAGTGACGTAAATGCTAGCATGGAATTGCACTTTTAGTAATTTGATTGTAGGCAAATCAATATTTTGAGTGTTCTTACTTTCTTCTGCTAGCTTTTTCCCTTCCCTTGCAGAATCCAGAATCCACTGAACACCCACAACAAACATGTGAAATTCACAATTCCTCAGCAATTCAAAGTCTTCATCAACTTTGTCTCCAATGATAACATGAGACACAATCTCATTGATCTGATTGAATCTTGTCCCTCCTCCAGAATTAATGATCTTTCTTAGCTTTTCCAGCTTTGCTCCACAAAATCCACTCAAGTAAATCTTGCAACCATCCAGAAACATATTTCCAGGCTGGATTCTCACATCAAAGTCAGAGCTTCCTAAATCGGAAATGTGAGTTTCTCCTAATCTGGAAACACTGTCAAAATTTCTGGATTGATTAGATGACAAGTTACTCTTCCTTCCAGAACCAGACTTAAGATCTTTGTCACCATGCTTTTGTGCACTTTTGTATGCCGCTTGTGCAGCTTTTTTGGAAATCTTCTTCTCTGCGCTACTCTTGGAGGAAGCCATACCAGCGTTGTTACATTTGGTCAAGCTACGTGACAATCTCATCCCTGCCTGAGAACTGTTGTTTACATCGTCACTTAATGTATAATAGTTTGACTCCTCAAGACAGACACCAGACTGAATTGAGTCATAAAACCACTGAGTGCAAACACAATGAAGATTCCACCTCCTTGCAAACTCATATTTTTCTCCCCTGGGAGTATCCACAAGCAAGTGGGTACAAGTGTTCATGTTGAGTTCTCCTGAGTATGTACCACCATTTTGTGCAACAAGTTTTTTGATTTCTTTCCTTTTCTCAGCATCAATACCTGTCACACAAAGGGTAATGCCCTTGAATGTTGGGCATAAGTATTCCATGAACTCTTCATCTGTTGCACAAATATGCTTATCATGACAAAGTTCCCAACACTTATAAACCCATTGAGGTAACAAGATTGGTTTATTAAAACTACACGCAACTCTGTACTTCTTGGAGCCTACTTCGCCCGCAACTAGGTGAGTCACTGAACTGGTGAAGTCTTTCATTACAATGCCTCCCATAAGCTGAATAAGCTCGTAAAGTCTGTCTCTTTCCTGCTTGGGCACACTGGTACAGCTGACAGCAATGCCTCGCATGGCAATGGAATAAACTGGGTACTGTACATTTGGCAAAGACGTCTTTGTCTGTAAACAAGACAATATACATTGCGGACCAACGATCCTACACTTGTTTACCTTCAAATATTCGAAGTCCTCTCCTTCGAAATTCTCCAAAACAAACACGGATCGCCTTGCTTCCAAATCAACATCACGCAAGTCACATGCAGGAATCCATTCGCTGTCAAGTGCATATTCTTTGCTGGCTTCCGATGCTAGTTGCAGATATTCCTCCTTCGATTTATCAACGCTTACAAAGCTAAGAACTGGCTCATCGCCGCTCTCCATTTGAAATCCTGGCGCGTGGATGAAATCGACAAAATGTCAAGCACTTTAATTTTCATCCGCCATCTTGGATTGCGCCGAAGTCGAAAAACCGAATAGCTCCGGTCCAAGACGATCAAATTGGGACCACTTTGGTTGTTATAATCCTGTACTTTTAACAATTTATACTCTATAATGTAGTTTTTTGTTCAAAAGAATGGTTTAAATCTTAAAATTTCCAAAAACGTCGCACAAAACAAATGCCAATCTTTTTGGCGGGAAAAAATAAGCATGCGCAACATGTTCGAAATTTGTGAATATTTCCCATGAATCCTTGCAAGACAAAATCAAATATTTCAGCAATTTGTGTCGCATTTTGGGATACTTCCGTGCAGACGGACATTGAAAGCGATTGCAGTTTCTGGTCTTTTTTAGTGTCGTTTTGCGTCCTTTGATATCTACTGAGAACGCTGCGAATTTGCCCTTTGATAGGAGTTGATCAAACGAGGAAATGCGCTGAGAAGACCCCGGAAACTCGTCATACAATCTTCACCAGCAGGCAACAACTTGCCAAATATGCACAAGGTCATTAAGAAAAACATCGTTTAAGTCCTGGAAGATTGAGAAATAAAGGTGAGATCGCTTAAATGAACTCATTGTAAATCAAATACAAGTACCTCTGGAGCTCTAGAGACGTTAAACGCTTAACAAGTCATTAATCTGAACGTAATCCAATGATGTAATGCAGGTACTGTAACTTAACTTATTCATTCGAAGCTGATGTTGCGTTAACGTTTTACCAATTTGACAATTTTGTGCCTAACGTTTGCTCACAATTATTGCTCCGTACCACATTAGATAGCTCGTGGGTTCAAAGACTGTGAGGGACTTTGATTTTTCTTTGTCCCTCACACATATGACGTGATAAATAGTAAAACTTAATTACATGTATATTTATCACTCTCGAAGTATTTACAACTTTAGAGCATACTGATACAGTAGGCTTAGAATAATTTAATGGGTGTATAAAAAATTTCTTCCACTTAGACATACGCAAAGCTGATAACCAGGATGCATATATATCTCAAAGATGGACATCAGAGGCGCTGGGTAACTGATGTCCACCTTCAAGATGGGTTTTGCCCCTGTATTGGTAATGGATTGACACGGAAGTCCTGTGCAAATGTATCAAGATTGGAGCCTGCCATTTGGTTTAAAGTTCTTGTGCTGGAGTCTGTCTCAGTAGACTGTGGAAGAAGGATAGTTAGTTGGTCCACTGGAAGTCATTGTGAAGGTTAGTTAAACTAATTAAACAACAGGAAAACATTAAAAGAGGACCTGCATGCAGATTTCTTTTTCTCTTCCTGTCTCTCTTCTCTTCCTGATCATCGTAGTTACATGTACATACACACGCTGCTTAAGTTGTGTACATAACTGGGTTTATCATTGATTTTTTCATGAAGAATGTATTTTGTAACACCTGTGACTCACACCCAAATGATATGACATGTTGGTGCACAGGCTTGATCTTAAAATTTGTTTTTAGAATTAAATGATAGTATCATTGTGGTGCGACAACTTTCAGAGTATTCTTGAAAGTGATTAGATGAAGGGGTGCCTGAAATGAAGCCCTAAGTGACTTTTGGAAATTTTCAAGGTAGCTACAATTGAAATATCTCCCAGCAATTTTCATAGATCATTCTGGTATTAATTATTGTCTTAAAAGAACTAGTATTAAAGAACTAGTTATTTTAAGACATGATAAAAACCCAAAGTAAACTGTGAAAATTGCTGGGAGGTATTTCAATCCTAGCTAACTCAAAATTTTCCAAAAGTCACTTAGGGCTTTATTCCAGGCACCCTGTCAAATTTGGAACTTTACAAGGTACTTAGTACTTTAACATAGGCTTGGCAAAATGGTGCTTTCTCTGAGAGCCAGCTGTTACCTAATTTCACAGACAGGAAGAGAGCTTATAAAGTTTCACAAGAAAAAAATACTTAAGGTAACAGTTAAAGGTAGTTAGGCTATTACGTTCCTGGTGGAACAAAGGGTGGTTACAATGCTGCGTCAGCGGACTCTGTTCGCGGCTGTTCTTTTTACCGTAGTCCAGTGATGTTGGCTTCTTTAAGCCCCTCTTCCACTGATCTCCTCCAGGTTTTCAGTGGTCTTCCTACCTTCCTTTTACCCTGCAGATTCCATTCAAGGGCCTGTCTGGTTGTATCAGATATTGTTTTCCGCAATGTGTGGCCAATCCAATTCCATTTGCTCCTAGCGATCTCTGCTGGAATACATTCTCGCTATCCATTCCATCTGCTTGAATCATATCTGCCAAGCACTGCAATGTCATAGCGGCGCATTTCGTTTGCCATTTGTGCGGCGTTACTTGTATCGTACATGGTATGTACATTCCAGATCCCAATCTTTGTTATAGCCTTCATCGTCAGAAGAGATCTCATCCATCTGGCTCCTGGCAGGGTTTCGCCAGATGGTGTCATATGGCTCACGGAAGAGACCCCGTCACGAGTCGGGCTGGTCATACTCAGTATTGTCTCCGTTTCTGTAATCATTTGTATCCACTGGTGGATGATTGGCTCAGTCAGCTTCACCAGGGTCCCCGTTAACCAGCACGTTTCAGGGTAGATCCAGGCAGGCCTTCATGGCTACTGTAGCAGCTCGGGAAGATTAATCCATCACCATGCATCACTCTGCCTAGCAATCCCCTACTTTGCCTGTTTTCACCTCCTACAACATGGACGTGGGAATTGGATTTTGGGAGACACAGTATAAAGTTATACTTATAAAGTTTCACAAGAAAAAATACTTGAGGTAACAGTTAAAGGTGCAAAGGCAGAAATGCTGGGTGCTTGCTTATTAACGAGCCTCCTTGATTTTTTAACCACGCAGCCATGGGCTGAGCACTGTTCATGTTCTCTGCATTGTTTATTTTTTATTTTTTTATTTTTTTTTTCGTTTTGTCGGTGACGAGACCCAAACTTCCTCTCAGCCAAATTTTTAATTCATGCAACCTGTGATGTTTATTCACAAAAAGCTCTTGAAACATTAATACACGGACAATGTTACGGACATTGTTTTTCTTACTGTGTGTAAAATATATTTTCTTTTGGTTTTATCAAAGCATTGGATTCAAAGGGAATAATAAATCCACTAAAAAAGTTATTATGTCAGCCATGGAATGCGCTGACGTTGCAGCTCTCTCTTTTGCTACGTGACAAAAAAGATGGTGTTTACTTTGCAAGTTTATTTTGCCCGGGGGGACAGTCTTTTTAGTTTTCCAAGTATTTTTCGTATTTTGAGACAAGAGAAGTGAATTGCCATGCTGTTTTATTGAAGCAAGTTCAGAGATCAGAAGGAAAATTAAATATTTGCAAGCCAAGCAAAGAACCTGTCAGAACATGCAAGGATTGCGTCATTGGTAGGGAAATAACCACCGTACTAAAGATAGTCGTGGATAATGTTAATTCTTGAATTATGTGACTCATGTGACTACTTTGCTAAAACCAATTACTTTTAAGAAAGCAAGCTGTTGTTAATAGTGTTATTATTGTATTGTTTATATCATTCATGCCCGTACATATCCCGAAGGAAGTTCCAGATTAAGACCATTAGGTTATCAGAGATTTCACAACAGCTACAACTGATGGTGCAATAATACACTTTGTGTTGATCAAGTGATGTGGTGTCTACAGTAATCAATGAATCATCAAGGACTACTTTGTAATGTGCACTGCATTGCAGCTGTAGTGCTAAGAAAACAGTTAAATTTTAAAAGCACGGTTATAAGATCTAGAAGATCTTGGTATTAGAGCTTTACATCTCTGGTCTCCTGTAATTCAGTTGTAAAGGAGACAGGCAAATCATCTTTAGAGGCTTGTAACAAGTTGGCAAATGTTGTGAAACCATCAGTTAACTTACAATAAACAAGCTTCCATATATAGCCAAATCATGTAGTTTTATTAAACAGGGTTGCCACAGGTCAGGAAATGGTCTTAGGAAAAAAATGAAAAGAATATTTTGGTTAAGAAATTCCTAATTTTTCTTTAGCAAAACTCTGTATGGCACAATGCCTAATCTGGTGGTGCTCAAAATTGGGTGCTTGTGGGACAGGGGATAGGAAGACCTGTCTTGCTCTGGCAAGGAGGATGATTCTTGATCCTTCTGCCCTTTAAAAAATTTCAGCCATACTGTAAGGAATCAAAAGAGAAGGGGGCTATCTGCATGGTCCCCTCCCTAGACCCTTAGATCTGCTATTGTTGTCATAACGATGGGATTTACATGTTAAGTGATATATTTGTAATGCCTGTTTGGTTATTCCTTAGACCCTGACTTGCCCAATCAGCAAACCTTTTATATGGAAGGAGAATGTTATGATTATGATGCGGACATTGATGAACTGTTTGTTTTGGCTGGAAAAATCATTTGCCCAGCTGGTCAAGAAGAGGTATGTTTTACTTTGAAGGCTTCTACAGATGTATAGTGCTATTAAAATTTAAAAACTATATAAGACATGAATATGTATCCTGCGGGGGAGGGGGTAACTTGACCCATGTTTGTGTATAGGGGTACTGCCAAGGGTTTGAAATCGTCAACCTGTTTAGGACAAAAAGGCTCTAGAAACCCTACCCTGTGTACTGGGCAAAGAAACACAAAGTAACTAGACCTACCGGTACGATCTATTCTGTCAATGCACGCTAGTTATAACACTGATAAGTGGAAAAAAATTTTTTCCGACAACAATAGCATTCTTGTCAAGAAAATGATCTGATGTTGATTGATGACCTTGTAACGGCCGGTTAACGTCTCTTGGCTCCTAATATACCATACCCTGTTTAGGACAGGTTCTGACCCTGTCTAGGACAGAGGCGAGTAAAATTATATACCCTGTTCAGGACAACGAGACCAAAAAACCATACCCTGTGCAGCGGAAGGTCCCCATATAGCCCAAATAAGGGAGTCATGAACCCCTGGGATGTTTATATTGTATTTATAGCATATAGTCCTTATGCCATCTGACAGGGTACGGAAAAAATAACAAATTATGCAGAAATTTTGGGGGAAAAGTGCAGAGGAATGTGTCATTTATGCGGAAAACACACTGGATTATGCGAAAATTTCAGCAATTAACAAAACTGATGATGAAGTCCGGACAACAGTGGAACAAAAAGTATTACCCACAATATAGGCTCTTTGATGCAATGCACAACATTTTCGTCAACTTTGATAATATTATATGCTTGATCTTTTAATGGTATTTGTTAACAGGTATTTCTTCATTTACGTAGTTTTCCATAGTGCATTTTACCTCATTTTGCGTTGCCATTTTACATTCAGATTTCCTTGTTGCACTCATGGAAAGTCCGTAGCTTAGTAACCAGGAACTACATGAAGTTTCTGGGCTCTTCGCCTATATTAGGTTGGAATGCCTGGAGGTTAAAAAATGGTCACAGATGAAATGGTGTTTTATTTTTGTTGCTGTTTTAGGAGAAAAACTACTTCAAAATAATCAGTCTCTTCAAAATGTGTGCTTGTGGGGTTGTAAGGCAGCTGCTTTATCACTAATATGGAACAATGTTTCTGTTTTATGAGGAAAAAAGCTCTGATTACATTTGCCAATCAGAAGAAACCCAACAGGGAAGAATGCATTCCGTTGCCGCTCCACAGGCGCCCCCATTCCTGTTCTTTATCTGTTCCGTATCCCTTCCATATCCGTTCTCTATCCATTCTGCACTGTTGTGTTCCCATTCTGTTAGCATTCCATTGGTAAGCGTTCTCAGACCTCGTCCAGAAGAACGATTATTCCAAGAACTCAGTTACAAGAATGCTTCCAAGGGATTAGCGACACTCGGTTGAAACTGTCTCCTTCTGTGAGAATACAAACAATAAACTTACATTTTCGTAGTGAAAATGTCAGTCCAGTTAATTGAAAAAAATGGGAAGATGGTACATTTTGTAACTTCAAGGACAGTTACGGAGTCTTTTTCTGAAATGACACAAAGAGACCGGTAGTCTGTGTGATTACCCAAGGAAGAAAGAAGCAACCAGCTTGCCAAGCACTTTTAACGCCATCGATGAAGAAATGCAAGCAACAGACAAACTTTTGGCTCTTGTATTTACACCAATACTTTAGTAAGATTTAACATTGAAGTATGACCGAAAACTGTTGGGCGGATACAGTGGAAACTATGGCTGGAGGATGGGAGCGGAGCAAAGTACTGCCAACAAGCCGAAGCGAGTGCAACACTCAACATTTTGTGATACTTTTAGTGATGTTATTTTAACAGGCGAATGCTCAGTTTAGATTGAATGTTATCCTTGCCGATCCTTCTGCAAAGTTGGCGAACAACACCGTAATAAAGGTCAACCAAAACATTGAGGTTTTGTTTTGTTTCTTTTGATGCGGAAACCTTTTAATCCCAGTCTAACTCGACTCGTCCATCCATTTCCTTATTTGTATATAACTCAATCTTGTTGGCAATGACAAAATGGCCTCAATGAACATGAAATGGACGAGAAGATGCAGAGAAGAAGCTTGCTTAGTGCGTGTAAACAGTAATAAAAGAGGACATTTTTGTTGTATTTCATTTATTTATTTTCTTTTACAGGTATAGTGCAAGAACATACAGATCAATACATACAAACATAATTAGAACATTTAAACTTACAATTACCTTAATTAGAAACTACAAAGAAAAAAAAAACACTGCACTACACTACAAGTATTACATAACTTATTCAACTTGAACTTAAAATAAAGAGTAATTAAGGGAATCTTAGAAAACGAAGTTTGGATAACAGCTACGGTTTTATTAATGGGAGTAAAGGTTTCCATTTTTTATTGTGGAAATGGATTTTGTTTTTTTCCGCAATAAAACATTTGGTTTGAAACGTTTTTTTTTTAATTTATCGACTAACAGTCTACTACATAAAGAGCGCTTATTTAACTTACAGTGGTAAATAAAATATTTACTTTCAAGAAGGATGTAGTTGACTAGAATGCTTATATTATCTGTATCTAAAATCCCAAAGAGAACATCCTTGATATCAAACCTAATAGTTATATTTAAAGAATTAAGTAAAACCTTTAAATCATCTCAAAACATGCACACTTTTGTACAATGGAAAAATAGATGTTCTATGGTCTCCAACTCCTTTTCACAAAAATCGCATAAGGGAGAATCTATTTTTTAACCCATTGACTCCTGTGCTGGCTATAACCGGCCGTGACAAGCCTTGGCCTTTCTTCCACTTCTGATGTCATCACCCTTGACCAAAATTGGTGTCATCTATGCTCAACTTCTGCAGGCGGAAAAGGTCTTTCCATTGATACCCAGATCAGAGAGATCGGCCCAATGAAGCCTGAGATGTGCACAAAAATGCTCAAAAAGTTGAGTGAAAAACTCAGAGCATAATTTCCTGCCCCTACACATGGCTACTCCATGGCAAAAATTGCCTGTCTCGATGATGCTTTCTCAGAATGTTTTATACTGGAAGCAAGCCCAGTAGAAAGTCAATCACTGCAGCAAAAACAAAAGAAAAGGAGAAAAAGGAAAGGTGAAAAAATAAAAAATAAAAAAATGGAAAAGCCGAAAGAGGTAGGTTACTTTCTCGTCTAGATCTCAAAATTTTGATTTCTGTGCATGCCTGAGCAAACATGTCGTAAAACACGATGCTAGTGGAAAGAAAGGCATGCTGTCATGTTGCAAATGCCTTTTTGAGTAGATTGAGCTAATTTGGCCCATATCCAGCCAGAAAATCTCCAAAATGTCCAAAAAATGCATTTTTGGTAAAGAGCTCCAGGAGTCAATGGGTTAAACTTAAACAGCATCTTGTTTGTGTATAAGATTCTGTTTAATATTTTATGTTGGAATTCTCCTAATTTACAGTTAGTATCCAATGTTGTTTTGAAAGGCAGTAGATATATCTTTTCCCAGTCTAACTGGGATGTGTGCGAGCTGAAAGCTTCGTTATATTTCTTTTGCGCTGTTGGTATACTGGATATCTTAGAAACAAAACTGTCATATAATTACTTTGATTTAAGATTTTGGAAATTGACTTTTTTCTCTTCGGTACGGAAATTGAAATCAGTTTGGATTAGATCATGAGTTTTTGAGAAGATAGAGTTTTAATTTGTTTTTAATATTTTGCGCCATTCCTCTGGAAAAGCATTGAAGAGACTAAGAAGTAGAGAATGTTCAACTGGTGAGAGAGTTGAATATAATGGTTCCATGTTCGACTTGAACTCTCTCCGTTTGTCGTAGAGGTCTCCAATTCTTACAATTCCAAGATCAATCAGCCTACTGTTATAAATTGACTTAGATTCAATGCAAATGAACTGATTGTTCCATATAACTTGATTTGCTATTTCAGAGGATGAGGAGGGGATGTCCTCGCTTAAAAGGGTCCATGTCACAATGCATTCTTTATAAAATTCTGGTTCAGTTATCGGTTCTTTTGGGAGGCGCGGTGGCATCATGGTTAGTGCGCTCGTCTCCGGATCGAGCGGTCCGGGTTCGAGCCCTGGCCGGGGACATTGTGTTGTGTTCTTGGGCAAGACACTTTACTCTCACAGTNAACCAGGATAAGCTCCGGCCTGATGGGCCACTTGGCTCGTATACAGACTTTACCTTTACCTTATTGGTTGTTTAGTGTAGTTTAGATAAGAAAGGGCGTGAGATGATTCATTTCATTCTCCATTAGCTATCCATTATTTTTATGTTTTATCAATAATGAGTAATCTAATGTATTAAAATATTGTTCACTTGGTTAATCTCAGAATGGAATCTCCCAACCCTCTGATGAAGATTATGAACAGTGCCTTCTTCGTATGCTGCACTGCTACATCCTGCCAAAGATAACCTTATGTAAAGATGACTTGGACAAAGTCACAAATGCAAGAGAAAAACAGGCCTTGAACATCCAGATGTTAGATAGAAAGGTTATAGAGGAATGCAAAACCATTGATGCTTGTGAGTTACAGATGGAGGACTTACGGACTCAATTCCTTCCTGACCTAGAAGGATTCATCAACAAGGGATGGTGCTCAAAGGGATTTCTTGACCTGCTTCTTGAGGATGTTAGCAGGGAAGAACCAAGATTACGGCAACAGGTACATGCGTACATGTATAGACGTAAAATGGATTTCTGTCTCTTCATCCAAAATGCACTTGTGGAAAGTCAAAGATGAATTTATTCATTCCATTTCTGTGATTTCTTTAAGTCTATACAGTTTATAGTCAGTTTTTTGTTTTTTTGAGGAGAGGGGGATTCAACCAAACACTTAAGATTTTGGAGGGAGGGGTAGGTAACATAGAGCCCACAGAGCCCACAGAGGGGTCACTGTATATAACAGGGACTATTCATCAAATCTTGCCAACTGGTCCCCACCCTACATGTACATGCACCCCCTTATTACAGTTTTACTGTAAAAGTTCAGCCACTTTATTCTCCCTGTAAGGGGATGGCAACTTACTATAACAAATAACAGAATACTTGTTATGTATACATGTGTAGTTCTAAGCAGTGAACGAAAACCTATTTTGCAGATTGACAAGGCTCAAGATCTAGTGCAACATGCTAAAGACATGTTGTCACAGAAATCATGTGCTGCATTCAGTGAACAGCTGAGTGCAGCCAGACAAAAGAGAGATGAAAAACAAGGAAAACTCGTAGCGCTTCTCATGGCCAGAGAACTCATTTCCAGTGCCACTCATCAGGTATGGTACTGGTGGTGAATTGTGTTGTTTCCCCTCATTACATATAGTGTATGCCAGTTCACCCAAGGCGAGCTCGCCAGTGGACTGATGGTTATTTACCCTGACTGTCAAGCTCTGTGTTTGATGGATTAATGAACACAGAAGAAACATGTTCTCTGTAGTTTTGTTTCATTATGCCCAAAATGTTGTCTTTTTCACTCAGTTAACTTAAACAAAGAGAAATTAACACACCTTGTTTTAAACTTTCAGTCTTTGCAAACAAACTTGTAGTCCAGGCAAACTTACTTCGGGAAAAATGGTTGTCAGGCAATACATTTGTTTACCATACTGGTGTTCCTTCTGTCCATTCGGGGAACTTTCCCTTATTGCTTCATATTTTTATCCGCAATCCTATGTCATCTTAAATTATCTTAATTATTTGCATTATGCAGGGCAGTTAAAAAACTCAGGTCTGATTGCCGGGGCAAGTAAATTTTATTTTTGCTCTTGGGCAAGTGAAAATGGAAGTTTGTTGGTCCAGTGGACAAGCGAAATTAGGCCCTGTTAGTACTCTTGTGAGTCTGAATGAAAATGTCAGCTTGATAAATGATGATTTCTGGTCAGAAGCTTTTTCAAAACTTAAGTCTGCAAGATTAGTTAACCAATGAGTTGAAAGCATAGATTAGTTAGGAATTCAAGCATACTTTGTTCGAGTTTGTCCTCTGATTGTCATACTGGCCGCTACGTCGGCGAGTAATATTATTTTCAGTGGGGGCAAGTGTATTTGAATTTTTTTCCTGCCTTGTTATGTAATGTAGATGTTCACATGCAATGGACAAAACACCCACAGTTGAACAGTTCTGGTACTCTTTATACATTGTACTGCTCAGTAATCCAAATTACATGAATGTACATGGTACTATTTTAAAATTAATTTCTTGGTTATGAACAATTATAATGATCTTTCAGGCTGCAAATGTCAAAGGAGCAATTGTTGTTGGGCATTACTTGCTGCAGCAGTATCTCGAGGAAAGGGAGAAACTTTTTGTTCTCAAAGAAAATCGCAACAGATTTCTGGAACAGAAGGTAATGTGTAAAATGCTCTTGGGTTCCAGTTAAAAAATGCACTTTCTTCTCACCACTGTACTACCATTTGGAACCTACACTTTAAACGTCAAACCTGCACTTCTACATGTGCATTTAGTGCAACACTGCACATCGACACACACTAGAGTAAAACTGAATTTCACTGCAAAACTATTTGAAACTAAATTTCAACCTCAAACGTCTACTATTCCTCAGAGCATGTCCATCTCAATTTAAGTACAGTTGTTCTGTACTTCCACTCATGCACCTTTAGAAGTTAAAGGTCGAATCTACAATCCCACCTTAAACCCACACTTCCACATGTACCTCAAAGTTGAGTGTCCACAAGGACACTTCTGTTTCAATTCTGCATTCCCTTTTTATCTTCCACCCAAAAATTAACTTTTCCCAAACTTTTGCATCCATTTGAAAGCTCCCTTCTACTAGTGAACTGCAACGTTCCACCTCAAAACAACGCTTTGCCCAAAAAACTGCACTTCCAGCCCAAACCGTCGTATCCTTTTCGAAACGTACATGTAATCCCGGCCCATATGACCTCAAAACTATTCTTCCGCCACAAAACCACACGTTTAGCCTCAGAATTACACTTCGCCCTTAAAACTGCTATACCACAAAGAAACTGTACATCCACCCAGAACTTAGCCTACAGCGTACTTGCGCTAAACTTAAAGGTACAGTTTCTCAAAACTACACTTTTCCATCTTCACCACCACAAAAAGGCACTTCGCTCCATGGTTAGATCGGTCCAAGCTGCTCCAAGTCAGTTCGCTCCAACGCGCATATAGATTATTCCTGGTTCTTTCATCCACTGCCAAGCCAAACTCGGTTACCTGTGTGGAGCGATCTAACTTTTGATTGGAGCGAAATGACTCGGAACGATCTAGCCATGCAGCGAAATGACCTTAATTTATTTTCGGATATCACTTTATTTATTTATTTGTTTGTTTGTGTTAAAGAACTGCGCTTTGAGTGTAAGAGAAATGTTGCAGTCTGCCGTGGAAGAGCTGATGGAAAAGGGCTACACTGATGCTAATGACGCTAATGCGTTAGGATCACGTGCCACTGATGGTAAGCTGGGAAACTCATCCAACAAAAATACTGAATCTTCTGATTATATATGGATCACTGAAGTGAATTATTTAATGCAACTAGTAATACAGGTGTTGTTTTGTAGATTAAATACAGTTGTTGAACCTTGTTAAAGGACACCCACAGACTACGAGTAGGCTATCTTTTGCTCGAAATCCGTGGGGAAAAACGCAGAGAAGCCGGACGCAACACAAGTGAGCGGTCGTAAGCGTGCGAGCGTCACGTGCGAAAGTAGCTACTCGCGGCGCCGCTCACATGTCACGCTCGCAGTCACGCTTGCACGATCACATGTTGTGCGCACTTTCTCAAATATGTTCGACCAAAAAAGAGACTGCTCGCAGTCTATGACACCCACTTACTACTGTTGTATCATAAAACGTCTACCCTTGTATAACTTTGTCCTTTGTTAAATTTGACAGTGCTCGAAGGAGTTTGGAAGCCGGAATGGCAGAGGCTGGGTGAAAGAATTGCTACTTTGGTTAACAATGAAGAACACCCGGTTGGAAACCACTTCAAACAATTTTGCCTGAGGATCCACGCCCTCTGTCAAGAGCTCGTCGAGGCTGGGAGAAATGGCAGCTTTGCCGAGTTCACTCCTTCCTGTTCGCCCTTTGGGAAACCTGGTCCAAATCAGTACGAAATGTACGGCTTGGAGGACTTTGCGGTGGAGTATCACAGACCCAAATTGCAGTTTTTACAAACGGAAATTGCTAAGCAGCTAGACACTGCAACAGAGTTCTTGTCCGATTTTTTCAATAACAAGGACGTACAGTTCAAGAACAAAATAAGGCTTTGCTATGAGCAATGTTTCTACGACAAAGAGCACGCATTTTTGGCTTGTGTCTATGAGCTTGCTTATCATCAGCACGTGGATAAACTTGAACGGGATGTACAAAGGCTCCGAAGACTGCCGATAAAGTTACTGAATTTACAGATGAAAGACGAGTGGTGGCTGGAGCTTTTTGAACAACGCACTTACCAGACAAGTGTCGACGAAGGCCACCTTCGACCATTCACAGAGGCTTACATGAATGGCACTCTACTAGAACAGACAGCTACAGGCCTGAGTGGTTCTTACGACATGATTGATGATATGGATGACTTCGTTGAAGAGGAGGTAACACGAAATGGTATGGACAGCCTCTTCGGAGGTGACTTGCCACAAAATGTTGATTCATTTCGGAGCTTGTGCATTAGCGCTATTCGTAATCGCTCAAAAACCATAACTGCAGAGGGAGGTCAGCCACCCCTTGACGAACCTGATACAAGCCGTCCGAAGGCCAAGCCTAGGGTGGAGACTGTCCTCAGTTCCAGTGCACCAGCAGGCGACATGGGATTAACCATGGGTGAGATCATTGATCTATGGGAGACAAACAAAGACACAAATGAGGATGAAAATGGCCAGCCTCATAAAGCCACGCTAGAGAGAACACTTTCAAAAAGCCAAGGTGATGTTGGCAAACAGGATAGTAGAGTTTGTGGAGAAACATTTGAAGATCACTTTGGTCCAGCACTGCAGAACATGAGAGACATTTTCAAGGTCACAAGCCCCCTAAACAAGCTGAAATGCTTGACCTCTTCCCTCCGGAAAATCACCAATGCTGTACAGGAGCTACGAATGCGAAGTGGAAAAGACAGTTTTGCTGCAGCAGTGAATGCAGAGGATCTGTTGCCACTTCTAGTCCTCATGATGCTCCAAATGGAGCCTTGGGAGGTTGCCGCCATGTGGCCCCAGCTGGCGTTTACAGAAGACCTGATGGCACCTTTTCTGTCATCTGGGTGCCATGGCTGGGCCCTTGTGGAGTTTCAGATGGCACAAAGAATTTTACACGACCTTTGTCAAGAATTCTAAACGTAGCTAAACTATTGTTTTAAATAATTGCAAGTTTGTGTGCCCAGGGCATAAAAACATATGATGATGCACTGCAAGAAACAATTTTGTTTTAGTCAAAGTGGTGACCCTTCACATGACTGTGGAAAGTGATATAACTTTAAAAGAATTGATTCACCAATGCATCGATATTTGATGTTAAGTACAAACATATGACGATTGTTTTATATATACACAACACACATGCAATTTTTCGTAGGGAGATGTTGCTGTAGCATACTTTTGTAATGTACAGAGTAGAATTGAATGACAGGTTGAGTGAACGTTCAACTTATTGTAACCAAGTGCACAGCCCATAGTCATGTTAGTAGTTACTTGACACTTCATGCCTCACTGAGGTCTTCAAGTCACAGAATTTTTCAGTTTTTACCAGCGTTAGTCACACATGATTAACAAGCTACGTAAGAAGAAAGCTGTGTCGGAAAGTCTTTAGTCATGTATGACTTCACAACCCTGCCGGTTCCCTGTTTGGCGTTGTACCTTAACTGGAATTCATGGGTTCAAATCCTTCGATAGTTCTCAATTTTATTTTTTTGGACTACTTTGCGAATGTTGATAAATTGTACGCAACTGTTATGTTCCCTTTTCCACATCAAGTCATTCTGTCCACAAATCATGTTCATGTGATTCATATCCAGGACTTGTAAATCTATACACTCACACTGACCTTCCTAATTTAATCTCGATGCAGCAAGTCCCCAAGAACTCTCTGGTGTTTCGTAGGTAAACAAAACTTACATTTTTTCCACCTGTTCCTAATGCATGACTTCCCAGGTCGGTGGTAGATTATCAAACCAGGACGTCTGATAATTCATTCAGCTTTCCATGACTTGCTAGATGACTTACAAAAGAATGACACAGTTGTTTGATATTTTGAATTTTTTATACTATTCTTAAACATTTGATAGCAGCGTCATTATAGACACTGCTTTGGGATAGTAAATAGAAAATACGACAAATTCAGAGGAAAATAGAGAATTCTGTTGATTAGATGGTGCAATTTTTTGGTAAATTTGCAAAGTGAAGACTTGGAAGTGTTACAATTAATTTTATTACTCTAGCTGGCTTCTCTCATGAAACTTTCTTTTTCTATTCATGTGGAACAGTCTTTCATGCCGTCTCTTCGTATGGGTAAAGGAAGTGAGAGACTGGTTCAGAGACCTTTTTTTACCATTTTGTAACACTTTCCTTGCAGTGTTGTTGTATGCAAGTTTGACAGGAAGTTGCGCCAGTCTATTACGCTTGTGAATATGTAAAATAGTGTTCTATTTTCTTACTAGGTTGCTGTAAAATAAAATTGTTTATTCTGTCTATCATTGCAAATTATAAAATTTGTCTCTTTTTTTTAGCAAAATGAATCGTATGGAAGCCTACTTGAGTTTTCACCACCCTGGTTTGCTCCAACAATAAACGCATGATGAAGTAATCGCGAATTTCAAAAAGGGTGTTGGGTTGTATTACAATGTCATTCTATAGCGTATGATTGCAGCATTATGGTGATATCCTATTTTTTTTCCTACTCATTTTTCTCTTTTTCGATTCAAAAGTCTGAATCCTGCTCGAGGATTCCAAATCCTGTCAGAACAGGTGTTTGCAGACGTTCAAGTTCCTCGTTCTCAAAACGCCATTTGTACGAGTGTGTCTATTGATCGTACCCTTTTCTGTACGTTAGTTGTGTTCTTTATCGCGTCTCTTACTTGGATGTGTCAGTCGTAATATATAGATTTAGAGGCAGGGTGATTCATCAAACACGCCATGTTTTTACATGTGCTCTCACTATCAGCGCAAAATGAGTGTAGACGTCTTGATGGTTTCGAAGACATTTGACTACTGTTTGTTGATAAGAACATGTAAGAAAGAACTCTAAAATTTGTTCCTTTTACTTTTCACTATTTCATAAACCACAAAAACTTATAACGCAAAGAGACTCGCTTGTTGTTCAACGTTCAAAAACATCTATGCTAATGAGGTCAAGATAGCTGGATATTGGCCAAGTTTATTTTTGCGTATTTATGGACCGGAATGGAGTAGAAGCTAGTAGAGAAACGAACTACTCTTGCGGGACACAGCTCGTAACTCGATAACGCCATCTTGCCTGCCTGGGTAGCCAATCACAGAGCAGGATTTGGTTTACCTTGCCCACCCATGAAATTGCGATTTACATGAGTAAGACAAATTAAATTAATTGGGCCTAACCGTAATCGTCATTCTGCACTGTTTATTCTAGGCAGAAGCTATGTCGCAAAAACACCAGAGGCCGAAGAAGAAGACAAAATTCTAGAAAGTTACCTGGTGGGAATGAAGATTGAAGATGGTCACCTGGTGTTGCCACCAGTCTCCGAGCGTCCAGACGGGTTTGATCTGTTTTACCAGCGCCGCAGTCTGATCGAGGAAAACTTACCAGTATGAAATAGATGGAGAAGATTTTAGCTTGATTGTTTGTAAAGATCAAGCAAACACCGTGGATCCCGTCGAGACTGAAGTGAGGGACGTTCATACAGCAGCCACAAAGGTCAGTATTGCTAATTAATTCTCCATGCCATTTAAGGTGGATCAAAACAGTTTCCAGCACTTAGATTTTGATGGGTCGTTATAACTACTCTTTATCACTTGATGCTACAATCATGGTATCGAAAAACTGCCCAACCATTGGTGAACACGTTGTTATCATTTTCGTAACAAAATAGGTTACCATAGCAACAGTAAGACCTGCTAAAAACACCCTTAATTACAGCTTTAGGGGCTTATAATTCAAAAACGGCACGGTGAATTTTTTTCTGTACTGTCAACATTTGATAAGCATGATAAGACGCAATTTTTGGCAAAGTTTAAAAACATTCTGTAGGTAGGGTTCAGAGCCACCTTAAATTTTCGAAGAGTACTTGAGCCAATCTTGAAAACGTTGGGTTATCCACACAGTTAGATATTTTTCAGTCTTTTTCATTGCCCTGGAGGGGTGGGGTACCCTCCTATGAGAGTGTCGCTCTAAAAGTCTGTTTGTTCTAAAATTAGGCGTATAAGGATTTACCTTGGAGTAACTAGGCCGTGAATTCTCGCAGGACTTTTAGGGTGTAGAGCTTTTTTCCTGCTGTAAACGGTTAGCGTTTTATTTGTCGTAATCCTGCTATTCTCTATTGTCTGATTTCCCATGAATGTTATGTCCGGGATGCCTTGTGGAGTCGAGTACCTACAGTCGATCCTAAATCATAGTCTCTTGTGAAAATCCGTTCCTCCTTTGCATCCAAGTAGCAGTTATTACCCACAATTATTACTATTTTGAAAAAATTCCATTTTCTCGTGCAAGGAGATGAGAACGAGCGTATCTTCGTGACTGTAGGGACAGTTTTGGCATAACAACTCGTTTTCTTCGCAAGTTTATTTTCATCGCGAGCGGTCGCCACTTAAATAGAGACAGAGAGTGATGTAATCATGCCGGTTTGTTGCAAGCGCAAGTATTCTGTTCCCTTGAGGAGAGTGTAACGAACCGCGGGATACCGGAGGACATTGCATGCAGAGCAGAACGTGCACTATACTCATAAAGTTTAGGTGCATAAAACGGCTTCCTGGCTTCAAACTCGCCAGTTTATATGAAGCATTTCAACACGCAAAGAAACGATCAAAAAGTTTTTTTTGGCTGCAAGTTGTTCGTCATACAAAAAGTGAACTCCCAGGGAGTAGATGGGTTTTTCACTTAACATTAGATTTTATAAGTTAGCTTTTCGATATCGCAATTCTCAGCTCCTAACCGAAGCAACTCTGATTAAGATTGATTTTTTCGTAAGTGATGTTTGTAAGTAGGCAATGTAACGTCAAATAGGTAATGTCGTAGGTAATAAGTGATGTTTGTGAGTAAGTAATATGGCGCAATGTAAGTAGGTAATTAATGCAAAATAACATTTTGTACACAGTGATAGATACAAACTAGTCCTGTAGCTTATTCTAAGTAGATTTAAGTACTGTGTTGTTAGTAGCAGGCGTTGTAATGTAAGTAAAGTGCTGTAAATGTAATGTGATCATATGCAGTGTAAATAAAATTTAAAAAAATGTATGCAAAGGAAACGTTGCGAATGTTTCCCATTCTGCACTGCACTGCACTGCACTGCACTGCTCTCGATCACTCATGCACTCTCTCCTTCACTCACTCAAAGTAAGAAACTATTTTTATTTTATTTTGCTTTCTTTTGCCACGTAGACTGACATACATCTTCATTGTGAGGAATGGGACCAAGCACTTGCTGAAGGAAATGACTGGGAACCAGAACAGATAGTCGACAAACTACCTTCTTTTTACAATTTCTAAGAGAAGTCGAGATAAATGTAACTGTTGGCCAGTGACGGAATGGTTTGACTTCAGAGTCACCTTGGAAAAAGTAAAGGATTCTGGTTGTTGTAGTCAAATGACGTCATCATGCAAATTACCCACAGAGCCACTTGCTTTGTAAACTTCAATAAAACACAAGAAAACAAAGAGAAATAGGAAATTTGTGGTGTGACTTTTTTTACTGTCAAATTGAAATTGGTGTTTTTTCTTGTCGCCCGAAGAGGAAACCCAGTTGTGGCATTGAGCTCAGGTTTTGACAGCAGTGCTGCAAGAGTGCTTACAGCTTTGAGCGGAGATTGGTTTAACGACCGTGAATGTGTTAGCTGTGGAATATCTTTAGGTAAAGGGGATTTCGAAAAAGAAGTGACTTAAAAAACCTTTGACTATGAAAAATTGCGACAGAACATTTCTTGAAAGCATTCTAACATGTAAAAAAGCTAAAAAGCTGAGTTAAAAATAAACGAGGTTTCGACGTTACCGTAACGTCATTGGGGACTTTAAGCAGCGGGAACACGGACGGCGACGGGGACGCCGAAACCTGTGAAAAGGCTGGGGAGAGAACGCCGTGGTGTAGCGGGAATTCACAAACATTAAGCAGCACCGTCGGAAACCCCGGTTTCCGCACTGTCAAGCTTATTGATATTATTGATATTCGTCCTCTGTTTATCAGGATGAAATAGGATGACTTCATTGAAAGAAGTTCGTAATCAACTCTTGATAATCCACGATGAAGGTGTGTTAAGCGATGACGAACTTCTACTCTTGTACGATTTAAACCGGTCTAATGATCTCGACCAACCTTATGATTCCTTTCCTGATTTTAACTTCGATGGTTTGAAGACGACGATTGCCTGTCCGAATTTCGCTTTCACAAACGCAACTTGCCCCTTCTCGCTGAGTTGTATAATGAAAGGAACTTATTACAGGCCCGTAACCAGGATTTTATGTGGGGGGGTGTTAACGAGGCCAAAGTGGACCAAACTACCGAAATGTATTTTTTTTGTCTGATCCGTTTATTTAGGAAAGTAGCAACACATGAGAAATTGTAACGGCAAAGTACACGGTACGAACTGAATATTACANTCTAATGATCTCGACCAACCTTATGATTCCTTTCCTGATTTTAACTTCGATGGTTTGAAGACGACGAGTGTCTCTCCGAATTTCGCTTACACAAACGCAACTTGCCCCTTCTCCCTGAGTTGTACAATGAAGTAAATGAGCTTATTATCAGCAGATGTTTAATCAGACTGGCGCGACAAATCAGTGTGCCGACTGATAAAGATCTAAGTAAACCAGTGATCTTACGACTGAAAATGGAAACAGCTACACAAGTTTTAATGGTCTCCACCCTTTTAAATGTGTTAGAATTTCACCATAATGAGCCATTTGACATTTGAGTAATTCTTGAAAGGAAAAATTTCGATTGAAATTCGTGTAAGTTGTCTTTATTTACATAAGCTTTCAAAAAGATATAGACCGCAAAACAGTCGTATTTTTTGCGAATGCGGGCGACGGTTAATATTCGAACGAAAGGTCTGAAGCGAATGTAAAAACGGCGAGGGAGAATGGGCACTCACATGTGCGCCGACTGGTTTGAGTTCTCTTCAGATTTCTCGACGTTCCTTTAAAATGAAATACCTCACATAACAAGAGAAAACAAGCATTAAAGTTCCTCGAAATTAGTAACACGGGTTATTTAGCATTGATACAGCAGAGGAAACGAAAGCGAAAACTCACGTTTTCAGACAACGCGAAATGAGCTTCGCTCACGTCGGGCCCGAACGCAGAACGTCAACCTGTTTCCCGCCAATCATGCGCAGTGGACCTTTTGGCTTTTCCCTGATCTTGTGGCGTTCCCGTCGCCGTCCGCGTTGTCGTTGCTTAAAGTTCCTAATGACGATTTGCCACCCTCTGCAGTTTGGTAGACTCTGAGCGGAGGCTTGGAAAAGAGCAACTTTTCGTCAGGCGTTACACAGTCAAGCCGAGGGGGCCTAGAGCCGGCCAGTTGCAAGTTCTGATCCAAGATGGTCGGACGAGGGCGGTTGTTGTGGACCAGACTGGCACAAATATCTCACCGATCCTGTAAGTTTTTTTTTCCCTTTACTGATTTAACTAGTAAGTTTAGGGTTGTAATAGCCTTAGCAGTGAATTGAGTTGTGCTTCCAACTCTCAATGTCTTCACGATTGAGTCGAATCGGACAACTAAATTTCGAAAGCTAAATGCATCGCGAAAGCTGAAGTGTTACATGTACAGTATGGGGCCCAGTTCTCGGCCACAAAAAACGTAAACTTGTGTTTCTTACCTTGGAATAGCCGTCAGGACTTAAAATTTCACGCTTAACTAGCTTCAGTATTCAGTTTACACATGTAGAGCTATCGACTGCTCAAAGCTGTTTTCTCCCGAGTAATAACGAANGAGTGCCGGTCCGAATTTCGCTTCCACAAACGCAACTTGCCTCTTCTCGCTGAGTTGTACAATGAAGTAATTAAATGAACTTATTATCAGCATATGTTTAATCAGACTGGCGCGACAAATCAGTGTGCCGACTGATAAAGATCTAAGTAAACCACTGATCTTACGACTGAAAATGGAAACAGCTACACAAGTTTTAATGGTGTCTACCCTTTTAAATGTGTTAGAATTTCACCATAATGAGCCATTTGACATTTGAAAACTTCTTGAAAGGAAAAATTTCGATTGAAATTCGTGTAAGTTGTTTTTATTTACATAAGCTTTCAAAAAAAAGATATTTCACGGTACTCACATGTTCGCCGACTGGCTTGAGTTCGCTTTAGATTTCTCGACGTTCCTTGTAAATGAAATATCTCACATAACAAGAGAAAACAAGCATTAAAGTTCCTCCAAATTAGTAACACAGGTTATTTAGCGTTGACACAGTAGAGGAAACGAAAGCGAAATCTCAGGTTTTCAAACAACGCGAAATGAGCTTCACTCACGTCGAGCCCCAACGCAGAACGTCAACCCGTTTCTCGCCAGTCATGCGAGGTGGACCTTTTGGCTTTTCCCTGATCTTATGGCGTTCCCGTCGCCGTCCGCGTTGTCGTTGTTTAAAGTCCCTAACACCGCTAGCCATGATAACCATGAGAAAATCAACTCATGGGTTTCCTTTTCTTTCCTATGTGAGTATGGGGCTCCGCTATAAAAGGTACTTTCATTGGCGTTGAGGTCTTTTAATTTGAACCTGACGCGTTAACAGGAAACGCAACCTTAGCTCGGAGGTTAAGGAGAATAAATCAAAAACCACAAAAAAGTCCTTGTTATTCTTAGCCCTTACTTCTCCGTCAGAGCTCTTTTCGTCTCTGAGCTAAATCAGGATCCTGATATGTCGATACGGGTGCATTCCTCTTAAAAGTTATGGAATCTCGATTACACCTCACCTCATCCACTGATAAAGCACATTTTAAAATGTTTGCCCACTGACTTCAAATGCGTAAAAAGGCGCTCAGAAGGACCATGGTATATTTACCCCTTGTAACGTCATCAATTTCGCGATAGGGCATGGTTTTAATATTTGTCTGATAAAGAGCGAAAAGCTCATCTTGCAAAGCTTGCTGAATCGGGCTAGAGATACGCGTACACCTACACGAATCCGTCCTTTGAAAAGTGAAGACAAACTTGTCCTTCCTTACCACTGACATTTTTTCTTAAACGTTCACAAAGACAACTAAAGTTGTTCTGGAGAATGAACATCACAGCCCCTACAGAATAGGAGAGAAAAAGAATTGTAGAATGCCAAAAGAAAAGAGAACACCCAAAGAAATATTAAAATACGTTGTCTTGAAGGGAACAGGAATAGGAAAGTATTCATGTTTGGTCTTCGGAACGGAAAAACGTACTGCGCATCTTTCTGCTCATCCCTAGCCTCAGGTAATAATGCGGGCTGCAATGGCAGAAAGAAAGGCAGCGTCAACGGCGGAGCGACTAAATTCCCGCCATTTTTTCAAACTTGGAGCCTGGCGTCAAAACTCGCGCATGCTTATGACGTGTTTCCTCTCTGAATGTATGAACTTTAATCGTCCGTTTTGGGGGAAAATCTTGCCTAGTTTCCTGCTCTCGAAATTTCGCCTCGGTCAATCGTTTTCGGCAACAAAAAAAAAATCCAGGAATCTTGATTAATGAAGACATTATCTATTTATTTCGTCCAGATGTAACGAAATCTTCCTCATTTATGTTAAAGCCTCCTAGACGTATTTCCAAAATAACCTAAACGCTTAAATCTATCGTGTACACGTTTGTCTCGACGTATTTTCTAGTTGAATTGTATTCTACTTTAGACTTCTCAGAACAGAACTTATAAGCCATAACCAATTCAGTTTACGTTCTTTCACTCTTAGTTTCACTGGAAACACTTCCACCTGTTTAGAACTGATCTTTTAGTCGGCTTTTACTCAACATGGGCATTAGATCAACGTTGATCAAATCCGCGTTATAAATTTAACATTCAATGAGTTCGTAAAATTTAACTTTATTCCTAATTCATTAACTACGCTATTCCCTAACCAATGGAGTTAAATAGTGCTCGTTAAGCCATTTACTAAGGCTATCACTGAATCGCTCTTCATATCCCTTAACGGTTCTGCGGTGTTAAATAGCCTGATATTCAATTAGACAACTTCCTATAGCTTCATTACTCAGTAAAGCTAGAAAGGACTGAACTAATAGTGAACTTAATGACGGACCTAACAGAGAAATTAAGGACTGGCTAACTACAGACTTTCTACAACAACCGACTGCCAGACTAACAGCTAATTGACAATCGTTGACGATTTCAACGAGATCCTGGTTTGTTCTTTGGGCACTCTTCGCCTGGCCCACTACACATTAATATTTTTCATTCAATAAAAATTGTATTTTATCACAAACTCTTGCCTTTCATTCTGTAAAACTTACAAAACGTTACCACGACCTCATTGTGTACAAAACTAGACATTACTTACTTTAGACGTTAGGGATATCATTTTTAATTGGCATTATATGGACATGAAATTTTTTAAATTATTCTTTCGTGTACTTTTGAATTTGTTTATAATTTGTTTATAACTGACTGCAATCTTGGACAAAATAAATGGAACATCTGGACCACCCCTCCCCCCATTTCAATGATGCCAAAATGGAGAACTTTTGCTCCTTCGCGCCTTCATCATTGCTTTGGGGGGGATGGGGGATAATTGTTCCATTTTATTCTGTCCAAGATTGCTGATTAACTTCAAACTGATAACATTCAGTTGTACCAGTCGAGAAATAGCAGAGACAGCGAACACATCACCAAAAAGAACAGTATCCAAACTCTAAAGCTGGCGTTATTTTTGATAGCCTGTGAAAAACAATGAAAACAATAATGAATAATATACGTGTATATATCTACATTAATTTTTTAAACAGTGTTTTAGAAAAATGTAATAGTTTGAAATTGTGCAATTGTTCATGCACGCTGAATAGTTGAAAGCCTGAACAAGAGTTTTCTGAAAAATGTTTTCTATGACGCTATAGAAGTACTAACAGTATTCTTTAGCGCCACAAAAAAATAACATGTGAGAGTCTGAAAACTTTCCACTCTTTTTTTATCATCTCTATTTACTATTCAATGACTAGCACCCTTAAAACATATCACACAAATTTAATGCCCAAATGTAACAACTTTTGAAGCACACTCTAAGAATTTTTGACGCATAACGTAACAAATTTTTTTCACGAGATGTAACAATGTTTTAACGTAAAAGGTCAGGATACTCTACATGTACCTTACGTTACGTTATGTTTTGTTACGTTTCGTTTCGTTATGTTTTGTTAATAACGTTAGACAGACGTACATCACTTTAACATACATATAGCATTCTCATGTACAAGTGCTTTCAGCATAACACGTATTGTAAGAAGTTAGGCATTCACCTCTCTAATCTGTTCATTTCCTCCTTTGACATTTTCTGTTGTTCCCACAGCTGTTTCATATATTCTATCTATCTGAGTGGACTGTCAATGAAAACAAGAGAAAGAGTTTCTTCACTGACTCTGACTAAGTTAATAATAATAGAAATTAAGGGTTGGAAATGGTATCTTGAGCTTTAAGGAATATATCAAACACGAAAGGCAGTGTTTGACCACATTTCTAAACTCAGAGAAGAGAGTTGAGAATACGACTCGATACCACGCGCAGCGGGGTATTTTTAACGAACTTCGATGTGTTTGGAAATGTGGTCCAACACACTGAAGACAGTGTTTGATATATCTTCTTAATCGAAACTAAAACTAAGGAGAAAACGGAGAATTAAAATCGTAAAAATCTAAGACCAGATATCCAAACACCGTCACGGTCTTGACTTCCTTTGTTTAAACTCGATGAATTATTAGTAATGAATTTGAGAAAAAAAGATGCAAGCAGATCAGTTTTAACCTGATTACATTAAACTGTTCTTTCGCATTCTCACCTGATGTAGAACCTTTTCGGAAAATATTTCTTGTAGCTGAGAAATCTCCACCACTCTTCCTTCAATCTGCCTGAAACATTGAACCGGAAAACTAAACATACACAATCTTGCCATTAAAATTGATACTTCGTCATCATGTTTCTGGTATCAGACTGTATAAATTCATCTAGTATTTAATGCTACCAAATTGTCATTACCTTGTATGTGTAATATTTAAGAAATAGAAAACATGTACCGTGTTTCTATGGAGTTATAGAGACACGATTTTTAACCAATCAGCGCGCGTATTTTCTTAGGACTGTTAACACTGGTAACACTGCACATACACCGTGACTTAGATTTAAGTCAAGTCTACTCTCCAAGGCATTGAATGTTTATATCATAATTAAAATTGTATTAAATCTACTGGCACCGAGATGCATTGCTCTAATAAAAAATAGGTTTATTTGCATACCTTACTTCATCCACTAGACTGTTCATTTCAGTAAATAGTCTTTTGTTTTCCATTTCAAACTAAGTAATAACAGCAAATAAAACAAGATTAGAGTGCACGTATTTTTCCGCAATTAAATAAAATTAAGACTAGTTACAAAACGCTTGTTTATTTTCGTGTTCCTTGTGCATGTTTACCAAAACATATGACTGTTTTTCAGTGTAAAGTTAGCCATCTTGACCTAGTGCTTGGTCAATAACCAACGTATATGTATTACATACTTCTCCCTTGACATGCCACAATTTTGATTATGTGCTTATGTCCTTTATAGTTCTACCTATTAAATCTTCTACATCATAATATTTGTTTTTCATTCTTTTAAAAAAACTTAATTCCAAGTTTACAAATTTTGTCACTCTTACTACGGTACATCTAGTACACATGTAGCTCACAGCTTCAAATAGCTCAAGTACACAAACTACTGTAGTTTGTACACAAACTAATGTAGCCGTAAGCCTGTAAATTTATGTTCCCAAAATTTATTTTGTTTGCCTACCATCTGCACTTCCTCTGGTGTTAATTCTTCATCTTCACCAGGAGGGGGACCCAAATCAAGTGGTTGAGGCTGACTTTTGGATTCTGATGGGAGTAGACAAAAGTAAGTTTACAGCTAGTTCTTAAACCATAACCCATTTTCTGACTTAACATGTACGTTAATTTAATATTATAATCAAGTTTTTGTTGTGCAAAAGTCTTAAAATTATCTGTGGGTAAATCCTTGGCAATCTTTGACATTTTTTGCTACACTTTACTAATCTGATCAGTTTTAGAAGACCACTGGTCATGTTTGATTTTCCACAAACTAAATATTAATGTTCAAGACATTCAAGATGTTTTAAAGCTTAGCACTTTCAGGAAGAGAAAGGGGGCTGCAATTACCAGCACTGAATGGCACATTAGAGATTGAAGCATATATTAATGTATAATACCAACCTTTAGATGTAGCTTCAACAACATTTGAACCAGACGAATTTGACACAAGCTCTTCAGTGGCATTTGCTTCTCTTTTCATTCTCTTTTGATCAGGCTGTAGCCTAGAGCTAATCACAAAATATACAATATAAGGAGGACAACCTATGGCAAACTTATCAGCAAGACCCCAAGCTATGTAAACTTCAAGTAACTTGTCCTGGTACAAGAGATGAAATCAATTTCAGTTGTAAGGGTGGACATATTTAAACAATGTTATCTAAACTTTTTACTCATGGAAGCTGAACAGTATCACAGGAGGCTTAGTTTCTTATTACAGACTACAGACTTACTGTTAGTTTTCATTTATCAATGAATGGTCCCACATTAGGATTGCATCCATGGACTCATAATGATATGTACCATCTTTTAATCAACTGATGTTTGTCAGTGACCTAAACATGGATCAGATTTCCACTGCGGTTCACACATTGTAAAGTACCCTTGAGAAATAATCTTACATTCGTTTTTTGTCAACCACTCTCTTGACTCTGATTGCTCTCTGTTCGCTGTACAACTTGCAAACCACTGAAAATTAAATGTAGTTAAATTACAGTACAAGGAGATACAGGGCTACATTACAGTACAAGGATCAGATACAGGGCTACAGCACATCTTGGTGTAATTAAAAGAACTGATCTCTCTTGTTTTCTTATTTCCCAAGTTTTGGAGAAACATTTCACAAACAAATGGATATTTTAATTTCTGGGAAGACTAAAAAAAGGAAATTTATGGGTTCTTGACCTTAAAAATTCAAAATTGCAGACAAAACTGATGCACACATATATTCATGACTGCAAATTTCAAAGACAATTCCACCTGATTTTTCCAAACCGTGAAGGTATGAAGTTTAATACTACATAGAGAAATAATTGGAAATTGCTATTTGAAGGAAATTTCAATTAGAATTCTACTAAAACATGTACACACTAACTACTAAAACACTTTTGATTTCTATGTGGAAATAGTTGATGAGACCTTTGGCCTTCTGATGTAAAATTCTGCAATGCTTCAGGAAAGGTAGGAGTACAGATTTCGCAGTGGTCAGAAAGAATGTCAAGGCATCTTAGTTGAGAGCCTGTGGCATTGTTTTTCTTTACAAATTGTACATTAGCTACATTATATAGCTTACCTTTTAAGTATTGCCCCAGCATTTCCAGCACAGTATCCCTGTGTGTTGTCACTTGATCACTTCTCTTCTGTTGTAAGGCTGTGAGGAAAATCTTAATTTTAACTTGTTACATGTACATGAGGTGCACTTTTTAATGTACAGAATATTCCATTTCTGGAGAAACTGAGAATTCACTTTCTCAAAAGAAGTCCACAGACCCTCTATTTTTGCCTTTCCCCTGCCCCACCCCTTTGCATTTTGGCTTGTTCATATCCCACTCAGCAGGATAATATTTTGCCAAACTTCCGATCTCATGAACTCAAGACAAAATATAGGGTCTGTGGACAGACTACAAACTAGCTTGTTTTATTTTGTTTTGTTTTTTTTAGTACATCTTCATACATGTGTATAGTACCTTCATTTTTAAGGGTTTGTATAGCAACTGAACAAGTCCTCATGTATGTTTCTGCATCAGTGTCTATCTGATCCCTCTCTTCATCGGTCATACTGGAGACTTCTAAACTCAAATGACTGGGTAGACACAAATGAGGGCAAAAACAATTATAATATTATACCTTTATTACCAAATTCAGCTGTAAATCTCTAAAAACTCCAGAAAACTATATTTTAACAATTACGGAGCAACTTCACATTGAGATCACAAGAACAGTTGTTACATACCGTATGAGAGCGAGTTTAACCACATGAAAAGATTGACTATACATGTAACTACAACAAATGCCAACCTCAAATACACCCTGTATACAGAAAATAGAACCTTATGTAACAGTAACTTACAGTAACTTAATTATTTTAATTATATATTTATTGATTTACAAGCCTTAGTGGCTTGCAGCTTAAGCAAAACTATTCTGGGCGAGCTACTATCACTTTAACAGCATTACAACTCACCTGAATGGACTGATATAGTCTTTCTGGTGTTTCAGGAGAAATTCTCTCAGCTTTGTGATGTTGACCAGCTGTTAAACAAAATACATCAATTAAAACAATTAGTTTGTTATTGCAGTTATCAATTGCTTATCTCTGTTTTTGCTACATGTGCATGCAATCATGTAAATAATAACATGACCCATTTATAATATTTACTTAGAAAAACAGTATTTACAGTGTATGTGATTTGCTAGACCTCATATTAAGAGACAAAGGAAAATGCATTTTGGGGGTACTTGTTGTGCTGTGAAAAAAAGAGAGTTTTGAGAACTGGTTACCAGGACCTCAGCTTGGTTATCTCTCACTCCAGAAAGCAGGAAGTGTAGAGAGTAACAAGGGCAATCCATATAATTCATGGCAGGACACATATAGTCAGTTTCCCCTTCAACTGCAAGCAAACAGCAGTAAGTAATACTAACTGCAAGCAAACAGCAGTAAATAAATGCTTAAACCGCAAGCAAACAGCATTAAATAAATGCTAACTGCAAGCAAATGCAGTAAATAAAAAATATATATGTGTCCTACCATGAATTCTAGTGGAGCTCCGGTCTGACGGCCCAAAGGGCGGCCAAGTGGAGCACCATACCCAAATACGAAAGTAAAGGAAACCCATGCATTGATTTTCTCATGGTTATCATGGCAAGCGATACTGCTCGTGGGTGCATACGCACGAAGACGATGACAATGACGGCAGAGTCGCACAAGATGGCGGCCATACCCTAGCTAATAGGTTGAAAGTGACATGCAGCCTTGGTTTAGAGCATACTTCTTTGACATTGAACATCCATGTTATGGTCAATTGACACCTGTCAAAACAAGGTATCTGCTGACCAGTATCATGTGACCATATTGTGGGCTCAAGTTTACCCCAATACCCTAATACCCTGATCCCCAATACCCTAATCCCCTAATGCCGTGATACACAAATATCCTAATACCCTAAAACCCCAATACCCTAATACCCTTCGCTAATACCCTAATACCCCAATACCCCAATACCCCAATACCCTTATAGCCCGATACCCCAACACCCCAACACCCCAATACCCCAATACCCCAATACCCTAATACCCTAATACCCCAATACCCCAGTACCCTAATACCCTAATACCTTAATGCCCCAATACCCTAATGCCCTAATGCCCTAATCCCCTTATACCCTAATACCCTAGCACCCTAATACCCTAATACCCTTACCTCCTAATACCCTAATACCCCAATACCCTAATTCCCTAATACCCCAATACCCTAATAACCTAATGCCTTAATACCCTAATGCCCTAATGCCCAAATACCCCAATACCCCAGTACCCTAATACCCTAATACCTTAATGCCCCAATACCCTAATGCCCTAATGCCCTAACACCCTAATACACTAATACCCTAATGCCCTAATACCCTAACACCCTAATACACTAATACCCTAATGCCCTAATACCCTAATACCCTAATACACTAATACCCTAATGCCCTAGTGCCCTAACACCCTAACACCCTAATACACTAATACCCTAATGCCCTAATGCCCTAATACCCTAACACCCTAATACACTAACACCCTAATGCCCTAATACCCTAATACCCTAATACCCTAATACCCTAATACCCTAATAC